CTTCTCGCCTAACCGATTCACGACGACGATATATAGTTCGAGCAGCGTGAAAAAGATGCCTCGACATAAAGAGTCGCGTGGGACTGGGACACTTGGTGCTCCTCTTTAATCTACAAAGTCGTCGAGAAGGACCGTGTTCTAAGTGATCGGAAAACAGCATGGGGATACATTTATGAGTTTAGAAAAATAGATTGAAATATGTACCTACCCACCAGATAGCTCTTTTCTTCTAATAATGATTAAGTGTATAAAAATTAGATCTATTTCTTCTTCTATATAGACAACTCGAGTTAAATATTCATATTAAGTCCAAAGAGAGAGAGAGAGAGAGAGAATAGCAGGCGGAGGACGGAATTTGAATGCCGGCTTTTTTGAATGACAACGAAGGATACCAATGTGAGATCCCGAGGGATATGTAGTTTCTTACGCAAGAACAGGACCGCACACAGTCCGATTTCAAAAGACGCACAGCTTCCCACTTCTCTCTGGAGGGTAGTTTTAAAATTCAACCCCATGCGACGCACTATAGGGGGTCGTGTGTTACACGGCGCTCATATCAATCCCGAGGATCGATATAAAACTCTGATAGTTCGTAACGTGGCGCAAGGATATAGAAATATTGGTTTCTAATATTATAGTTGTATCGAAAGTATACACATATATTGCGGTCGTTATTTTCGCTATGATTATATTTATACGAGAAGCAGTACAAAATTTTCTATAGATTTTTCTAAAAAAAAAATGCCAGAACGAAAAATAACAAATGATTTTCTGCATAAAGGGATCCGATTTAAACGCTAACAATTTAGATCACCATAGCTATCCGGAGTTAAATTGACAACATAATTCTTTTCGCGAAACGTTTTTATTCTCTCTCTCCCCTGTTTTCCATTCAATCATCTCCATGCACGACAAAATCATGGATTCTAGGTTGCGTTCGAATGCATGTTGCGCGTATCAGGAGCGGCTGGCCACGTTGCGCTAATCGTATCGATCGAGCACTCTTAATCCATTAATGAACTTCCCAGGCTCGTTTTACCCTGGGTATCCCGGGCTTTTCGCAGGCGCCGTCTGTATCTGTTACATTCCGCCGTATGCGTGTGAGTATGCGCCTTTACTTCACGTACGGTCGATGACAAAAGTTTAAATTAAAATTACTTCAATGGCTCCGATCCACGGTTGCATATATTATAATCTCTAATATTTTGTTCTATTTATATTTTCTATTAAATATCGCGACGAAAAACCGAGATTACACTTATATAATATATTGGACGCGTGTATAAATTTTAAGATGTGTGATTAGACTGAAGATACTTTATTCTAAATATGTCGATGCGTGTGTCGATTTGTTTCATTGATTTTAAATTGAAATTGCTGCATCTTTTATTCTTTCTTATGCCTCAAGATGTTGTCGATTATATCGTCACTTTTGGCTATGACTTTACAAGTACACGTATGTATGTATTTGTATAATGCGACACTTTGCAGACTCTTGTTGGTTGACAGTGATTTTCCATGGGATACAAAACTGTCGTTAGACCCTTTTGCGAAAAGGTCTGTTCCCAACCCTTTCGTACGTAGCTCACCTAAAACTTTTCCTACGAACCGCACACGAGGGTGTAATGCTGCACATCGAAGGGTTAGAAATTTCTCGTCACTTTGCTTCTCTTTCCCTTCGCCCGTCTTTCTTTCATTCACGTGTCTGACGCATTGCGAGAGATTTAGAATTAGGGATGGAATCCCTCCTCATTTAATGAAAGTAATCAGATATCAATTGTAGCAAACTGTTAGCTATTAAAGCAGATTGTGATCACATTTTTTATAACAATTGGCTATACTGTATAATATTATAAATTTAAAATAATCAACGAGGTATTTCCTCTTAATCTCTCTTGTATGTGAGATTATGAAAATCGTCCGAAATCCTTTTTACAGAGCCGCCAAACAAGCGATAAGTCTCCTAACGCCGCCTTCATTCTCGACAACAAATTCCTCAAATATTTATCCGCCTTGCACCCTCGAATCCCTCTAGTACGTCGCCCCAAACGCCACTTCCGTTTCACACTCGGCGAATGTGTCAATTCTGACGCCTATCGACGTATGACAAACAACCTTCTCGTCTCTCGCTAGTTGTCGTCTTGTCGTTTCTGACAACCCTGACAATCGGAACAAAGGAACAATGCGAAAGGGAGAAGAAAGTTGAAGGAGGAGAACATACATTTTTTTCAAGATAACATTTGTATCAATCAAATTTACGAAAATTACTTTTTCCTCCAATTTTTTAATCCGTACATTATTAATTTTAGAAATAAGTATGAATAGTCAGGGACAATTCGAATATTTTCCCCAGTTTGCGCGTGCATAAGAAACATACGCTCTCTAATCGTGGCAGAAGAAAATCTGATTCATCTTCTACATAGGAAAACGGAATCTCCATCGATTAGATCGAATGTTCGTGACACGTTTCGTGCGCCGGGACTGCATGCAATTAATTTATTTTTCCCCGTTCGGGCGTTAATTGTTAAACTTAGATGGGCGGTCGTCGACGATCCCGCAGTTAGACTCCGAGATCGAAAGAAGGAGACGGCGGGCCGCTAAGAAGAGAGACGAGAGAAGAGACAAGGATACGACTGGACGTCCAATGCGGACGGGACGAAGAAAGATAAAGAGGGATGATTATACGGTAGACGAGACAGCTAGGGAGAGTCGAGGAGGGGTTGCTGCTAGGCCGACGACAGACGAGAGAGAATCGAGAAGTTTGAAGAAGGGAAGCGGGAAGCCAAGACGCAGCGCGAGATGGGTAGATTGAGTTACCGAGATAATTAGAACGATGATCGGGATGCATGCTTCGTTGAACGATTCTTTTTAGTTGACCTATTCGGAGTACTGTTCGGTGGTCGATCCGTCTCGTCTTTTTTTTTTTTTTTTTTTTTCTCGCGCCAAGAGCTAAACGATAAAGGCACAAAAGTATCCACCGAGGGAAGATACGATCGCTGAGCGTGTCGTGTCCAGAAATGAAGAATCCGGCGCGTTTTCCTTCGTCGATAAGTCTCAGCGGAGATATTACGGCACCCCAGTGACATATTTTTATGCGCCGCAGCTACGATGTCGTCGTGCGATTGGTCGTTCAAGTCGGCGCCCCGTGAGATCGCTTGACCGGAAATGTGTTGCCGTCGTAAAAACATCTACGGCACGTTTTTCCCGTTCGACCGGAATATTCATCGCAATTCCTTCTCGCGTGGACAATTCTTCGCGGCAATCTTCTTCATCGGCAAGGAGCTTCGGATATGCGTCGGCCGTAATACGGCCGGATGGAAAGGATCCCTATCAGAGGCGAGGATCTGTTTTCATTCCGACCTCGCGTAGTTTTTAGATTACATGCCTCTGCGCTCGACGTCGCGCGTTTGACTTTACTCTATTTGCATTGAGGATATCTGAATATTTAATGGGCCCTTCAACCAACCCCCGCCTCCTTTGCTCCTCCGCAAACCCCGCTTCTCGTCCGACTCTCAGTCCCAGCTGTGGTGAATTATTTAGCATCCCTAGGGAGACCGGTTACCTATGTGAATCGATGTGTCAGCGAGATTTTACTATCCTTTGTTTATGTTTCTTTGCCATCACGTACAATATCAATGGTCACGCAACTCTGAATATTACTATATTATATATTTTATCAATATTGCATATAGTAATAATATTTGATGCATACAATAATAATAATAATAATAATAATAATAATAATAATATATACTTGATAACATATAATAGTAATAATATACTTGAAATAGATTGAGCATGAATGTCGTAAATTTATTTATTATTATTAAACATACAGTCTAATGGTTCTAACGGTTCATAATAATAAATGGTTGAAAATACAAATTATGCACTTGAAGAATGGAAAGTATAAAAGAGAGAATTTTATTTGATATATTTTTATGATATTTATTATATATTATTTATAATTCTATACACATATACATATAATATTAAACATATTTTATTATGTATAAAATTTAATTTAGACACCATTTTTTTCACACAAATTACGATAACGTATTAAAATTTGAAAGATGTGATTTTGTTATGCAGGCTTAACTTTATGAAAAAGAAAAGTTTTATTCTTTCTTTACGTGTTTTTATCACTTGTGTATGGAAATGTTGAAATATTCCAAATAGTCCAAATAAGCCAAAGGCGAGGTGGGAAGATACTTGCAAGAATTTCTCAGTTCCCCTCTTCGAAACCAACTCGGTAAATGCACAGGGCGATTGTTCGACAAATAGAGGTCGGGAGTAAATAATGTGCAAATATAACAACTCCTACTGTGTATCGAAAGACGTAGGTAGTGTTCAGCTGTGCATACATCTCGTGTTCGATGAGAAAATCAGAGTACAACATATGCGGGATAATACGATTAAGTTTTAAAAATTATTTTAAAAAATTAAAAATTATTGAAAATTAAATTTAAAAAATATATTTTTTTTCTTGTTTTATGATAGCATATTGTTTATTTTGAAAAAAAAAATAATCGGAATCAGTCTTCCAGTTTAGCGCCTCTCATGGAAGATGATGGTACTATCTAGACAAGCATACAATGTGACTGGGAACACTTGCATTGCTCACAAGAAAACATTTTATTTCTCTTCTACTGATAATATTTTTCCAGTTTTTATATTCTCTTATTATAAAGACTATGTCTTAAAGAGAAAAAAGAGGCTAGATTTCTTCGAAATAATTTATATTATTTGAAATAATTTCCAATTACATAAAAAATTGAATGATCCAAAAATACATTTTATTTGTGTGTTATCACATTTCTTCGAACCTTTATTTTTCTCTGAATTTCGAAATCGATGATTTAAACATACGTATATATCATACGTATACGCGCTGTAAGTTATCATATGAAGATTAGGAATGATCTTTAGTAGAGTGCGCTAGGTTGTATTTTCTTTCCCTCGTTGTACGATCCTGAACTTGAATGTAAGAAACTCGAACGATAAAATCAAACAGTCATCGATCTTAGAGAAATGACGCTATCATTGTTGACCACGTCATGCACCACCTGTTTTAGTAACTGCAACAGCCAGTCGTGATTATTGGTTATGTAATTGTGCGTCCGTCCAATTTCGTGGGCTATATGCCATATCAAAGGAGATAAGGGAATTATTGCAACGCTGGCGCAGAAGCAGACACGATAGGCATTTGGTTGAATGCAGTAACACGACAATGGCGGAGGGACCGGAATTGAGTTTTCTCGATTTGCGTATCGTGCACGATTATTTCGACCAAGCCCTTGCTGAAAATGACGATGTCGTTCTGAGAGCGTATCTAGACGCTTACAACGAACTCTATAAGTAAGTCATATGGCTCATCTATTTTTATCATCTAACATAACCTTGTCATTGTTGATTTCGAGTCGTTTTGTCTTCAATTTACACTTAACGTCAATATTTGATGACGGATTTGTTTGGCAATCTGTAACATATGGAAGCGGAATTAAACAAGTGACAACTAGCTTAAATAATTTTCCATTATTGGATTAAGAGAATGTGTGTTGCATTATTTATTATTTAACGCAGAGAATTTATACATATATAATGCTCTTGTCCAAAATTTAATAAAGTTTTGCGCAATAGTTATATGTAAAAATTAAAAAAATACGCTGTATATAAAAATTTTTATTCTATATGATATTATAATCTTCTTTACTGTTATCTATTTTTTGATCAAATTAATCGTGATATCTCTTATTAATCTGTAATATCAGAGGTATATGAGATCATATCTGTGTAGCACTTGTGCTTGGATAACATGATGTGTGGACAGATTTTTTCAGCTAATGGGCAGTGTCTTTAGTTTCGTTTCTTCTGATCTGAAGCAGAAAATAGACATCTTGGATAATTTATTAAATACAGACAATCAGCAGTACACCACTGTCAAGTCTATGATTGAATATGAGAAGGAAAATAAATTGTTGGAAAAAACTGATTTTGTTAATGGTACACGTACTTTATTACGACTAAATAGAGGTTTAGGTGGGTTTATCGGTTTCGTTGATATTATTTAGAAATCCGAATCAGCTGATACACATTTCAATCTTTTAGATTTTATTAGAGAATTTTTGCGACATATGGAAGATCTCTCAGATGATGACAAAACGGGCAATTGTTGCCGGAATGCGTATAACGACACATTGGGAAGATATCATCCATGGGTGATCAGGAAAGCGGCGGTTGTTGCCATGTACACTTTGCCTACTAAGGAGGCTTTATTTAAAAAGGTAAACGGATTAATAGAACTTTTTTTTAGGGAATGTTGAATTAGATCGAATGCTTTTTTTTCTTCACTTGTATCTGGTCTTCAGGTCTGTGGTGAAAATGTTCAACGAAACCTAGACGTTCTGCAAAAAATGTTGGACGTGACTGCCGTCGTGTTTTATCGCATTGACAGCATTTACAAAACTTACGAGATGCATTTTTTACCATAAGTGATCGTAGAAAAGATAAAAAAGATACGTTTATTCGATATTTTTAGTTTCTCGAAGCACCGCACGCGACATTTCATTTACTATCAAGATATTGTGATATTATTGCGTATTGTGGTATATATATATATATATATATATATATTATATTTTGCAATTAATATTAGATTTATCAATAGAATATAAATAAGCACACTCATTTTCGGGAGGGATATACGTATTCCATATTGCGCGCGATCGATACTTACACAATTATCATATATATATATATATATATATATATATATATATATATACTGATAACGTACAAATAGTGACAGATTAAATAACCTACTAGTAAGTGATTCTTCTCACGTGATTTTCATTGTCATTTCAGCTTTTTGTATTATGCATTACTATAAGGGCGAAATTGATTTTTGCTAGATAAAAGATTTTGCTACGCATCATTTTTGGGAAAAACCAATGATTTCATATATATATAATAATATATATATATATCATTTATAAGTAATTTAGATGTTTCTATGACAGTATTGTATAAAAATTTATTACTGATAAAATTACTATAATGGAGTTGTGTCTTTTTCTTTCTCAACATATAATTATTTAACAAGAGATGGTCTTTGAGATTGCCGTTTCTTTTTAATCAGTTGTAGATATGAGCAAAAATTCAAAATGTTTGAATTTTGCAATTAAATGTCTCTGTAATAGGATTCCTATTCCGCAATTCGTAATTTAAATGCAATTTTTTTATTTAAATTAACGGAGTACTTAGCGTTGTCACTGATGTGTTCGAAATTGTTGATACAATAACGTTTGTAGAAGGCAAGACTGTTGCGTCGTTGATTAGCATACCTATAACAAAATAAAATTTGATTAGATAATATTTGGAAGCAACGGCTCGAAAGAAATCTGTATAACAGTCACGTTAGGTTTCAATCTTACCGGCGACGCAGGCTGTGAGGAAACAGACGGCGCTGCCAGCAAGGAAGGACCGAATAATGACTTTCGTAACTTGGTCCTTCTTCTTTGGCGCCAAAGAAGCGAAGACGCTCATCTGGATGCCGATCGAACCTGGATTCGCGAAACCGCAGATCGCGAAGGTGGCGATCGCTTCCGATCTTCCATATAGTCTACCCTGTTCTTTAAACTCGCCCATCTTCTGATAAGCAATCATTTCATTGATCACCATCTTCATACCTATCAACGTACCCACTTCCTCGCAATCTTCCCAAGGAACCCCCATGATCCAACTTAATGGCATAAAAACTTTGGCCAAGATAATCTGTAAAACTAGAAAATCTAAAATTCGTTCAAATAGTAGGATACGTTTTTAGCCGCATGGAAAGATCACGCACGCGTCGAAAGATTTATTACCTCGAGACTCAGTTCTTCGAAACCGACGAGACCGCCGAACCAAGAGAGCGCCCCATTAAAAAACGCGATGAAGGATACGAAAGCCACGATATTTGCGATTATACCCAAAACGATTGGTATCGCAGCTAATGCACCATTGGTAGCGGCGTCTAGAATACTGGTGTCTGATCTATATATTTAATATAATATAAATTTTTATGCGTAATAACCATTACTGAGACACAAATATTTTTTTTACTATCAAACACTTACGTTTTTGCGAGCTTGATATTTTCGAATTTCGTAAGACTTTGCTCGGTTTCCGGGTAAAAGAGCTTGGAGTAGCTTAAAGCAGTCGGCGCGGACATTACGGAGGCAGTTATTAAATGAGCCGGTTCTGCACCGAATGATATGTAAGCAGCCAATACCGAACCTGCAACGAGTAGGTACACACGATTATAAATTAGCTTAATGATACAGTAAATCGTACTTATGAAGGGTGTGTGACAGACCAGCAATCGTGGAAAATCCTGAACTCAATATCGCGTGCAATTCCGAATTAGTCAATTGATCGAGATATGGTGTGATTAACAGAGGAGATTCTGACTGAAAAAAAAAACAAGACAAATTCATGTTTCAAATTTTTATGATGTGAAAATTCTATTTTGTGAGAATATTACTGATATTACCATTCCGATGAAAGGATTAGCGACGGCGCTTACTGATTCACACAACGTCGTGCCCATTATGCTTTGCAAAACCCCTCCTAGTTTCACGATTATCCATTGCATCGCACCAAGATAGCTCAAAATTTGTGCCGCGAAACTAAAGAAAAAGATCACGGGCAGTACCTAACAAAGCAGAGTGCAGCATTAATGACATTTGATTTATTTATAAAATTATAAGTAAAACATTTTTCTTTAAATAAATATAAAATAACGTAAAAATTATTTCAATCAAATTAACAGTCAAGTTATTTTTTTATAAGTTAATTGTTAAATGTTGTGTGTATTATTTTATATTTGATTTTAAATATTTGAAAATGCAATATTAGATCAACTAACAGTGAAGGCAAAGACTCCCTTGCTGACTAGATCTTCTGAGAATATAAAACCTGCTCCGACTTTAGTATAATTCAAAAAAGTGGCCACTTTATTGGATATGCAGTGGAAAATATTACGACCGACAGGCCATCGAATCGTGATGAGTCCAAGTATAAATTGTAAAATTAGGCCCCAAATAACAGGTCTCCAATTGACCTGCATATATTTAATGACGTGATCGTTAAAATAATCGAAAGTGATAATAAACGAAGAAAATTGCAAATATATTGTTTTATCTTTTTTAAGAAATTTGATTATTCTAAATATCGTATACTTGATATTTTAATTTTTTCTTCTTTTTACTTCTAGAAAATAAAATATTTTAATTTTTAATTAATATCACGTATAAAAAATTTGTAAACAAGAAATCTGCATATACATTAGACAGTTTAATGAAGTGGGGATTAATTCCAGCGAAATTAGTGACGTGTCTACCCACGTGTCTTTAGCAATTTTCTTCAGCTCCACTTGTGTACGTATATTACGTTACAGTAATTGGAGCGCATTCGCTAGGCGATACGGCAGATGAGGATAATTGTTACGTAACATGTGAAATTAATGAATTAACCGTACACGTTTCGAGCGATAATCGATAAAATAGCAATAAAAAGATATCTTTCGCGAAGAAAGATTGTGCGATAAAAAGATCAAAGTCAAGAACTTATCATGATTCACTTGCCTGTTTCGGATGTTTAGAAAATAACCAACCTAATCCCAGTATGATAATAATGCCAAGGATACTGATTAATCTATATCTCGATTCTGTAGTATCAAGAATGAGGAAAATAATAATAGCTATTAATATAATCAAGCAAAAGGATCCTCCCATGTACGGTCCGTATCTGAAAATTTTCGTAATATTGATATGAATATCGTTTATATAAATAATTTTTATCGGACATGATGACGTTAATTTCTCACTTGGTATTTCTCAAGCGCTCCAAGGAATTCGTTACTGGCAGGCAACATTGTATGATGTACTTTCCAAAATATCGTTTTATGATTAAGAAATAAAACAGACCGAGATAAATAAGTCCTGTAAGTACGAGCAGTAAACCGTAGCCATCGCACCATTGAAGATCACAATCCTTTTCTGGAATTAAGAAACGATACTGTCATATCATGTCACTTTGCCAAATTTAATTGCGTTGCGTTTATATTTTATCATATTCGATATCAATTATATAATCAAGATTATAAATTCTATCAAAACGAGTAAACACATACATACGTTTATTTTTCCAATATACACCTGCGCAGATTATATAGGCTATAATAAGAATATTTAAAATTATTAAGCCAAAAATCTTGAAAATTCTTCGGTGTTTTGAAAAATATGCCCCGATCGCGTTTTTTCCAGTCTTCCGATGTATTTGTGATTCACGATGATTAACATTCTGCAAGAACAATGCTGCACGTTAATATTGTTTTAGATTATTAAGTAATATTTTTAATAATAGAACCAGGTGGAGAAAGTTAGTATATTGTTTTATCTTATTTTTGTTTAAGTTTTTATTTTAGAACGAGTTCAAAATAAAATACATATTATAACGATATGTTTTGCTCAATAATGACAAAACTATTATAGTCACTTATTCGTGCACACAAATGGGCTTGCAGTTATAATTAGATCGATTGTTTCGAACAAAGGCATTCCTTCGCAAGAATTCTTTGGCAAGAAGAATTAAACAAAAGCGATTTACTTACTTGATTAGGTTCACTTTTCTGATGACCATTCTCCAACACGTCCAATTCATTATTCTATCGATTATAAAGATAATAAATTTTTTTAAATAATCTTTTTACATTTTCTTGAATAATCAAACAGAGTTAGGAGAGATACGAATGAAATATTTTACAATATTTAATGGAAATAATAAGAAAATATTTTTCATTTAATATATTTAGATATAATCTTAGACAAAAAAAATATTTTTAAATATTTAAAGAAAACTTTCACTGATATTTAACAATTTATAAATTATTTAACAAAAATTTATCAGCACAAGCAATAAAAATCAAATTACTTCAAATGCCTGATTCACCGTTCCGGACATATTTCACTGCTCTTCAATTCACTTTACGACTGAAATGTTTCCTCCTTGCGTCGTTCTTTTCGCAGTACTGACACAAAACGAAAGAATGTGCTTTCCCGACATATGGAAGGAATAACAATTCTCGTACATATACACTTTATAATCTCATTGAAATCGCACCGACAGATAACGTTGATAACGGTTCATAAAACTTCTATCTTAATATTTGGATGTTGGTAAGCTTTATGCATTTTACACTTTACATGGATATTCTTCGTTACATCCAACGTTGTGTTTAAACAAATAGAAAATATATGCGTTACGATGGATTGTGTTTAAAACTGTTTCAAGTCCAATTTCCGTAGAGATCGCATTTTTCTAATTGAAAGTACTGATAACATTTTATTGATTTCAGTATCAATTAAACAAGTTTGATAACCACGTTTGTTATCATTTATAAAATTATAGCGATAAATACTCGAGTTGCATAGCTTTAGCGAAGAAAAAGCTCAGTGAGACGGAAATGTATATATACTGACACTGACTAGATGTAGAGAAACACTGACATTGTTTTCTATCTGTACAACAAGATAAGCCGCTCAAGGAACTACTGAAAATCGACGGTATAATGCGCGTTATACAACCTCGAGGTATACGACGAGTGGGGAACTCACACTCCCTTCTTACCGTGACATTTTGAATGAAAAAAGATATATTGCTAACATCCTCTTTTGCAATCGTGGAACTATGATGGTTAGGTTTTTTGCTGAGATATAGAATGTCTCAGGTTTACCACATTTCCTCTCATCATATGAGTTTTATGAAAGTAATTGTCAAATCTCTGGCTACTCTCAATATTTCATTTTTAGACAAAATATAATCAAGATATAAGTCGCGTAAAAATGTCTTCAAAATATAAAATGTATAATTATTATTTATTTTTATTTTTCAATTACATAACTTAAAAATAAAATAAAATAGAAAAATTAAATTTGAATAAAAAAAAGTGGAAAAATAATTACTTAATACAGCGATTTTTCGATTTAAACTTTTCGAGAATTAATTTACACAAAATAATATTAGATTTTTCTGAAAGTATATAAATAATCATAAATAATTATCTTAGAAAAAATTTTTAGAAAAATATTTTAAAAAATACCTTAATTTTAGTAACAAAAATGTAAAATGTAAAAATGTTATTTATAACTTTAATTTAAAAGTAGGTATAGGAACTATTTTTACATTTTGAAAATACGCTTGTGTAAATATTTACATAACGTATGAATTATCTACTACCATTTATACCACTATAATTATTTCTTACATCATTATTGTGTAATATCTTTACATTTTCAATTTAGGAACGTGATAATAATCTTGTTTACGGATTTGATATTGCGAATGTCATCATTTATCCTTTAAATTATAATCATACAATGCGCGCAACACACATTCACTCATTTTTAACGGAAGTGTAATTTCCTGATCAATAATTAAAACTCCCACGTCCGCATTCATTATTATGTGATTTAGTGACGGGTTGATGTTCTTTTCAATTGATTTCTTTTATACATTAAACCTTTCCATTATTTATCTCGCTCGCTGACGAGGAACAAACGAATGGCAAGTGATTTGTTGGACGGGCACCAAAGAATAATCAGGGAAAAGTCCCGGAGCGCGTTTCGCATACGCGTGCGGCGAACACGCGACGTGTCGTCTTAACGGATCGTATTGGAGACGCGATGCGTGAGATGCAATTCAAAACAGGTGCATCAAGAAAATTCTTGCGCCGAGCGAGGAGCTAATCGCGCTACTCGATGAGACACGGAAACTGGAGAACTAAACCGGAAAATAAGGCTGCGACTGTAATAATGAACAAAGCGCGAATGGTCATTACATAACGATCGTGACGCGATTACAAGAAACGGTTCCGTAGAAAGAAAAAGCATTATTCCGACTGACAGAAAATTATCTATGTTTTAATGTTACCGAGCTAGTCAATGTCAAGTGAACTGAATGCGTTCAATTGATAACAATAATGTATGATGATTTTTAAAGAAATTATATAATTTATTTTTACAGTGCATGATGCGTGTATATCTGGTAGATCTTTGGAAAATAATTTTAAATTAAGTATACGTGAATATATATCGTTTTCAAATATATACATTTTATTACGGAAGGATTATAGAATTTTGTTTGTGAACATCAAAATAGATGCACACCTGTTCTTGTGACAATGACATATTGCAAGTGATGTAAAATTATCCAACGTAGATATATATATGAGGAAAATTATTATTTATACACGAGTTGTTGCATACAAGATATAATCGCGTTACACAATTTTTTGCGATAGTATCTCACTGTTTATTAGCGCGATTTTTAGATGAATTCTACTTTGAGTATGAAAGTGATAATGCAACGCGATAAAATAACTTAATATCGATGATATCTATTCAATTTTATAGTTCGACATAACACGATCAAACTAAATTTAACAATATAGAGGAATTATCCAATTTAGATTTTTTACTCATGAGTTCGTCAATTAATAAATTTCGATGGTTAAAAAATTTAAAGAAAATTTGCACAATTTATTTTTCTACAATATGCAAATTTTCAAGGAACATATATAATATACATTGATAATATACGACGATGCAATTGAATAAAATCAATTCTAAATTAGCTGAGAAAGCTCTCATCGCCAAAGTGCTTTTCGCATGATCCACGGCGCATGTTTTCAGATAAATTTACACAAAGTTGAATTGCTCTGTAAATTACGAAGCAGGAAGTCCGAGTAATCGGAGGCTTCCAAGGCGAAACTGTCTGGTTGCTGGCGAGGAACAATAAAATCGGGAAGATGATGCTCAGCTTATCTCGTCGAGACGCGACGCCAGAGAACACTATTTTACTTAGTTAGAGAATCATGTTTGAATTTTTGTTCGAAGCGACGATGTGCGACGTCTCGAGTTTTTTCTCGCTCTGTAAGCTCTTCCTCTTCTCTCTTTCTTTCTCTTTCTTCCGTTTCATATACTCCAGTTACTAAAAATCTATCTTTCGGAGCAAGACTATTGTAAATCGCAGCAAAAGCATCTTGTCTCTGTAAAAATTATTTGTAGAACACGAGACTATGTTTCTTTAAACTCCTTTTTATTTTAGACACTCCATATATACCGTAGATTGCAGAATGTTATGATTAGATTAGCGTAATTTCCACCGATATAAATGGAAACATTTCTCGCCGACGTAAGATTTGCTTTCATTAGTGGATTATATTCTGCTTGGACTCCCTTTTCGACACTGTCACGTGACGTAATAATGTGTTTAGTCTGCCGAATGTTTTAGACTTCGTGGTATTTACAAGCGCGGTGTGGTCTGCTTTGCTGTTCGAGGATAAGAGGAAAGGATCTTCGGGAGGGAAAGAGAAATAACTTCGGCATGATGTTACATAATATCTCGCGTACGATCGAAATATTATTAACAAAATTTGTTTATTCTAAAATTTGTCATTAAATCATTTTATCCGGTTTTAACTATACCAAAGTGCTCAGAAAATTGCATTTTAGAGCGTGGCGTATTCAGCATTGTTGTTCTACTCCATCACATCCTCGGGCTATTTATGCGTCGAATGTTTGTGGGAAAGCGGAGGCGATAGATTTTTTTATTTCAACGTCTTAATGTGCCTTACTGACTCACGGCCTTGATAATTCTATGCGAGAATTATTCTATTTTCTACGAGCATGCGTAGCATAGCGAAGCGGGCCAGCTTTAGATTTCTGGCACCGTACCAAGAGCAACACGGATAGTCAAATTTCGTAAGATGCGAAAGTCCGAGTATTTTCGCAACAGGAGAACGAGCATTGTCTCGCGAATAATTTATTCCCTCGCATAATTATTAATTGCCGCGTAATTATCGCATAGAGGCTCCTGGAAAGGCCTTGGAAAGTCATCGTATCAACGTCGAATAATTTCTGTCAGCGATGATTCTCTCAGACGAATCTGATGCGCGGAAATACGGATACTCGCTCTGCCTCGCCCGCGGAAATAGTACCTGCTGATCTGCCTGATACCGGACACACGAGAGCACAGGAAAAATTAAATATTCCGCAGAATTTCATCACGCCCTTCCCCTATATACGTCGCCTCGAAACGTACGTCTCGTTCACGTCGTCAACATCCGCGTCGCGCCATTTCTTATCGCCTTCCTTTGGCTCGAAAACAAGAGCGTCGAATTAACTGTTTCATTAGAACAGAAATGCGTATACACAACTCTATATCCAGCTCCATTCAAGCCCTCTAAAATTCGAGCTAAGAATATATATGAATGTCAAACTTCTTACACTTAGACACGTTTCAGAATTATACATCAGCGCTTAGAGGTTTTATTTTATATTTTTACATTTTATTCCGCTTTTAATATAAATTGCCACGTGATTGGTTTTCCGCTTTAAATTTCTAAGAGTGACTAATAATGAAATGCATCACGTCAGCAGATTATTAGAAATATTTACGTCGAAGCGCGAGACGTGTTTATTTATTACTGGCCGAGACGTTTAAGTTTAGCGTTACATAATCCCGATGCGCGACGAGGGAATCGGTTGTCGCGTACGCGGCATAATTTGTGATTAGGCACCTCGTCATTATGCAATTTAACCAGACGGAACGCGTACATGTCTGCGCGTACGCTTCCTTCCTCGTCTCTTCTCGTGTTTCTTCTTTACTCCCGTTTCGTTGGAATGTCGTGCGTCCGATTCATCGTCTGTGTCGCAGCACGCGACACTCTTCGGCGGCTGCACGGATCGTGTTCCAGCTTGTAACTTCTTTACGTCATTTCCGATATCCGTCTTCTCTTTCCAATCTCGACGTCTTACGTATTAATTTCGTTTAAGAATAAAAATCCTGCTCGTTCACCGCGGCTTCTCATATACGAATCTTTTTTCGCCAAACCCGAGGTTTATATATATATATATATATATTTATTTTTTATTCTATTTTATTATATACATATTATATATTGTATAAAGGCACAAAATAAATATTTTATATGATTCTGTCTCTGTTCTTAATTTGCATGTCAGAAACACTACATATATTTTTAGTTCTTTGCAATTCAAGAGTTATCGAATGCGACTCCGATCTGATTGTCCGAAGTTTAGCTTAACCATACGCTTAGCTAACAAGAAAGTTTATAAAAGTACGTCTCGCATTCCGGTCTGAAGGCGTGTGTCTCTGTGTGCGAACGAGCGCGGAATATCGAGAGAGGCAATGAGAAGGTGGATAAAGCGCGGGGATAAAGAAGGAGAGAGAGAGAGAGAGAGAGAGAGAGAGAGAGATCTCTTCTCCGGCGATTTGCGTGTTCGCGATAGGCGGGTATTGGTTTTAAAATGACCGTCTGGGCCGGGAGGATTGCGTTGCGCGCCTACGCGTGGGTGCCGACGCGCGCGGATTGCGCAATCCACTCCGAAATTCAAATCCCGATTCCACGAAGCGATCGGAGAATCGGGAAGGCGGAGTATCCGTGGTGTAGTATCCCTGACGGATCCCGAGAAGAGAGAGAGACCTTATCTTGATTGCCGTCTGCCTCCGTTCGCGGCGAAGATGCCGGACCCCCGAGTGTGTTGGTCCGGAGAGGAGAGACCATGCAAATTGCACGATTTCCATTTCTTTTTCGTCCCGTTTCTTACGCCCCCTCCCGCGTCATCCCCGCTGTAGCGATCGTCTTCGCGGGTTCGCGCGCCGGCGTCGGTGGAATCCGTTTCGTTCTTTTTTTTTCCTCTCTTCCCTTTTTACAATTCCGATCGGAGGAAACGGGCATAAGGCGGAATAATTTGGCGCGCGTGGGCAGAACGTCTTAAATTCTCGCTCGGACGTGCCCCGTCCCCGAGGTGAGACGGAGAGAGCGAGAGAAAGAGAGAGAAAGAGCGAAAGAATGACGGCGGCTCCAGAGGAGAGAGAGCGCGAGAGAGGACTCTGTCATTAGGGAAGGCACATATCTCGGATGCACGTCGTTTGCGACTCGATACCAGGTGAGACGAGGGTTCTTTTTCCCGGCAGCCCGATGTTTATCTGCCGATTTTTCTGCCGCGTTTGAACTGAAAACTACGCCTCGCACTTTATCTTCCCTCGGGCTATGAAAACAATTCCGAGAAACACTGTGGTGGTGGTGGTGGTGCCAGTTGTTACGATCGAATTCCTTTGCGAAAAACCCGCCGGTATATTTATGCTTGCAGGTTTTTTTCCCTCGATGAAGTAACAAGAGAAACGCCTACGGGAATCTATGATCGTTTGCGAATTAATCGGCGCAATTTTTTTTTATCTTTATTTTTCGCAAAGATCTAGCCGAGGGAATCTCTTCACTCGCGTTCCTCTGCGGAGGGACTCTCATTCGGGTGTCTCTATGCCTTCGTAACATCCCCCATGAGCCAACGTCAGAACGTCGCTATTGACGAGGATGATGCACGAGTATGTAATGAGTGTGCGAGGCAACAATTTGACTTGGCGAAACGAGAGTAAGAGAGAGAGAGAGAGAGAGACGAGGCCCTGCGCATTATTTATTTTGGTACGTCTAGACGCCAGATTGTCTGTCCGCATGTCCGATCCGCGACGGAGAATTCGGTGCTGACGTCAGACAACCGTTGCACCGCGGCGGCAACTGTCGTGCCATTCTCTCGCACGCGGGATCAAATTGCATTCGTGTCCGTGTCCCTCTCCTTTTCGCTCTTCTCTCACGCACCCTATAACCCTCCGACGGACGCGCCGTGCGCAGTTAAGCCCGCGTGTCTGCACGCCCGCGCGCGAAATCGCACGTGGGTACTTTATGTAGCCGACCTGTGTCTCTTCCGAGAGTCTCCGAAGGCTGGTTTCTCACCGACGTCACGTAACTTTAACTTTAATTCAATTCGTCCTTTTGTCTTTATCCAGGATACCGAGAGATTCTCAAGTGAAAAGTAACCGTAGCCTCTTAAACGCGATCCATTCGGTTCGACTTTCGAGACTAGAGCTAGAAATAGTTAACATAATTTAATTTTCACATAGTTTTAATCTTTCATTATAGGATTATCCTTCGTTGAGATATAATTATTATATGAGAGCAGTCTCGGCATCGATTCTCATCAATTAAAATTTAAGCAAATGGAAAGGAGCGTAATTTCAAGCTCGCAGACGTATTTAGAAAGGGCACATTCAGTCCGTAGAAGTCGCACACGTGTGTAATTTAAGTGCGCACTGTGTACATGAGAAATCAAGTAAGGTATAGGAGTTGTGTGTGTATCCGGGACACCGCAATGCACTTCCTTCGACACACGTGGCCCCCCACCAGATACGTCAGCCAACCCAGTTTAAGCAGGGGTGAATAAGTGGTTACGTCGTTGGTCTCGATTCATCGATTTGTTTACCGGTGAACGTTTTGTTTCTTTCTTCCTCTTGCATACTCGTCAATGACGATTCCATGAATCGATTTGAAAAAAAGACGTACTGCGACTTACATTTCGAAATATCTTGAGACATACTACTGGCGAGAGTTTTTTATATTTAAATGTGTATAGAAAACTGTGTGAAATAATTTATGTCAAAATGTTGCCAATATATGTGTATATTTTATTAAATGTTTCCTCAAAAAATAATTATTATGAGGTTTTATTTTTTGCAAAAGTAGCGCTTGACGCAGGGATTCTCCTCGAATTCAGGTGCGTTGAAATATTAATCCAAATATCGGATGAAATTTGATTTAATTAATCTGCCGATTAAAAATTGCCATTTTTACGAATAGCTCGATACGAAAGCGTAGACTTGCGAGTTTGTTCAGGCACGTGAGGCATATCTATTTTTAATGTGCTCCAGATTTTCATCTCCGAATGTGACAGTCAATCTTCGTAGAAAAACATGAATGACATCATTTTTTTTTTATCTAGAAATAATTTTTTAAAACTGTATATAAATTTGAAAAACACAATTTACATTTTTGTTTATAAGCAAAATCGAGCTTATTTAATTAATATTGCGATTCACTTATGAATCACTCGATAAAAACAGGTAATTAAACTCGAATCATTATAATAATGAAGCGAAATCAAAATGGAGATTTCCACACACATGGAAGTAAATTGAATTTGTCACGGCCGTCTCATTTTTTTCCTCTATTTTTTTTCTTTTCGAATTCTTGCCGTCTGCGTGCGTTGCCACATATCGTATTTTCACGCACGCACGCGGAGGCTGCATTTATTAAAAGCGATACATTATGATTCAAAAGATCATATCTTTCGATTCGTCTAGACAGCGGAGAGGGAGACACCCTATAAAATCGTATGTGGCTGCCCCTGAAACGACCATCCGAATACGACGAGCCTCCTTGTACATTTCTCTCGTGCAAGCTTCGTGTGTTCCCGTCATATATTCCCTGTACCTGTTCCTCTTTTTATCTTCTACCTCCATTTCTCTCGCATTTCGGCGCAACATTATCTCAAGTCGTTCAGAAGAACTCTATCTCGTCGAATGACCGAAGACTTCGTAGAAACAGACGAAGAAGAGAGAAATTCTTTCTTTTTGTTCTTTTTTTGTTCTCGTGAAGTAATCGAAATATACCAAAGCGACGGTGTCCTGGCGAAAAAGAGGCCACGATTCGATCGAGTTATAGCACGGTAGGAGATCGAGATCGATTTTTTGGTAGCGAAAGTCCGGCGCGCGCGCGTAGACCATCATTTGCGGTCGCGGTGAAAGGAGGAAAAAAATTTGATAATATTCGTCTTCGAGAAGGAGAGAGGGAAGGAAGAATTTTGCACGCGGACGAGGGTACGAAACCGACGATCCTGTAGCAAGATTTGCGAAATTTGAAACGAACAGATATCGCGGAGATAAGTGACCGGGAGTTTGATCGACGGGTCAATTCGACACAATCTTCGGTAATCATCATCGGAAGGTAGAGATACGCGCCAAAGAAGAAACGAGTTCAAAGGAAAGGACGAAAAAGAAGAGGAAACAGTGGCAAAAAGAAGGGAGAGCAAAAGAAAGGAGGAGAAGATAAAGATCTCGAGGAGAGAAAAGGCTGTCTTCCGCGGGATTTCGGTGCACGAGGGAAAAGGGATTACCCGAGTGGAGGAGAAAGAGTGGAGAGAGGCAACGGTGGTGGAGAGAGAGAAAAAGAGAACGAGAGCAAGGGAGAGAAAAAGCGAGAGGGGGAAAAAGACAGACGGAAAGAGGGAAGACTAGAGGGGGAGGAGAGGGAAGAAAAAAAGGAGTCATCGTAGTAACACCGGCGCGTCTCCTCTCCTGGCTTCGTGGTTGTCTCGGAATTAGTGAGTAGACAGAATTATGTCTGTGAGCTGGCCAGTACCACGGCTCAGTTGAGACTTACTGCTCAGAGCGTGCACACGCATACTATACGAATCCTTCCTACTTACGCACCTCTCGCGCCTTTCTCGTGCGATTAGAACTTAGTTCGCGGCAGACCAATCACGGTCCAGTTCGCTAACGCGCCTCCGTACAAAACGGTTTCCTCTTCTACCTCTTCTTCTTCTTCACGTGCTGCTGGACGTGTTGCGGTGTTCGGAGAAGCGCCGTGGCTAAGTGACGAGCTGGTCACACGCGACTGTGACGTCCCGAGATCCCGAAGAAATTTCGACAAAGTTCGGAGAACCAGAGGAGAGACACCCTTTTAGAACCACGACGATTCTCTCGTCTTGTCGTCTTGCTTCGTGATTCCGCGAGGTGAGCGAAATTGAAATCGGAAACAGAGACTATAATCACGCGCGCGATATTATCTGTCAACGAGCTCTAAGGATTTAACTGCGAGAAGGTTCACGAGTAATTCTCTCGAAGAGAACAAAGTTTTTTTTTCAAAAATTCGGAGATTACTTATAGACTCTGCTTGCCGAGCAATCTTCCGTGAAATTTTCGAGATTCGACACTTTTTGTGAATTATTCGCCCGCATTATTTTTTTGCATTAATTTTTGACAAATTATTTTATAATCGAATACCGTTCGAGGGCAGGTCGACTGCATTAACCTCTTTGAACAATTTTTTAATTATTCGCGACAATGGGCGTTAAAACCATCGTGCTTATTTTATTGGTGTCCATCGTGACCGATATACGGTCCCATCATCATCACCATCATCATCATCATGAATTATATCCGGTGCACAAAAAAGAAAATAGTCACGTCGATTTGGCCGAAAGAGAATCCAATTTTAAGAATGAGGAAACGACGGACACTTTGCTGTCGGAATCATTGAAGAAAAGTGCGAAACACGTAGAGGCCTTCGACAGAAAAGGATCCTTTAGTGCACGGAGAGTTGAAAAGATGCTGGAAAAGGCGATCTTACAGATAATCACAGGTGATCTCAGCACTGCTAATATGCTGCTGCTGAAGAGTCTTAATTATACACCCGAGGAAGTGCTGGCAATTCGCGAGCGTGAACTCGATAAACGAAAGGATGAGGAATTGAAGAAAGCAGAGTCCGACGAGAGTCTTTACGAAAACAGAGCGAAGCATTCGAACTACGCTTTCACGGAAATTGATTCGTCCTCTCGTTACGATCCCGACGTCGTCGACGGGTCCAAGAACGACAGAAAGAAGGATCGATACGAGGAGAGAGAACCAGCCAAAAACTTTGATTTTGAAGCTTACAATCGTCAGGCGGTGGTCGATTACGAGAACTTGGCCACCAAACTCGAGCTGCAGCAGCAGTCGTTGTCCGAGCCTGCAAACCTTGATTACGAGAACGAGTCGAAAAACACCGAAGAGCAGGACTCCTCGTCGCAGAATCTTCATCGGAGCTTTGACCGTGCCATGGAGCCCCATGTGATCTTCAAGATACCCTACGACGATTCCGAGTTCGATTCCAGCTCCGGCTCCGACGAGAGATTGAGATTCGTGGACAGAGATGCCTTCGCCTCGTCCAAGGATTCCAAGCATCGCACTCCTTCGACCTTGAGGCACACGACCGCCCGGAACGTTGCTAATTCCTTTCACGCTTCGTCATTGTCTACTACTTCTTCTTCGCCTACTTCTTCTGCGGCTACTGGACATACTCCACTTCCCATAGTGCATCAGCTGGGGAACCTGAAAGACGTAAGGTCGAATTATATCAGGGATCAAACTGTCTTGAACACGACGGAGTCTCCGGAGTCTACCATCACGAGCGATATCATTGCAAATGATACGTCTAACGCGACCGCGATTGATACCTCGACGACGGATTTCTTCAACGACTCGTTTGCCAAGAACGCGGACAACGATACGGATAATCGAAAAATCAGCGAGTACGAGGGGCTGGAATGGATTGGAGAGGATGTCTACAGAGTGTTACCGGATTTCGCGGACTCGCTGGGCTACGCCGACGAGAACGAGACGTCAGATGACGACAAGCAGATGAATATCTTACCTGGGGGAAATGAGAATGATACTCTGGAGTATTGGAACGACGCCCCGGATCAGACGAAGCAATTCCTGGCCAATATCAATGCATCGTCCATTGAGAGCACATCTTCGGTCAATCTTTCTGCCTATCAACAACTAGTGCGCGCTCATCGTCGAGAGTAAGTTGACACAAACGAACGGGATTCTTCACGTAATATAAGGAAAAATGAATCACGGATAGTAGGCGATGTTGAATATTTGTCTTAGAAAATTTTTATGTCGGTATATAATGTTTCTTGATTTGATTCCGTTTATAAAATCATACGCTTTTCCCCGTACATGAGTCATAACTGAATCATAATTCTATAATGTATAAATGTCGTTCATCACGTGCCTTCTCCGCTTGGCAAACGCAATTCTAGTATCTACAACATCTGCTTTCTATGTCTTTTAGAGAAAACGTAACTTCAAGCTTCGGCAGGTAAGCCTCCATGGAGGCCTTTATCATCCGGTAAGGCGTTCGCGCGTTGTGCATTTTTTCAGTTGTATCTTATTTTATAATTTATTTTTTTATAATCGTTTAACTCGCGCATTATTTTTCGCATGTGAAACGTGTTATATCGCGAATACCTCCGTATCAAGATGGATAACATGTTTTTTTTTTTACTTATTGCTTGAAAGAAATATACCTGCATGTGTCATTGCGGGTATGCAACTGCAAAGACAATTGCATGATTTTTTTAATCGATTTTTATGCATCTTTTGCTAATTTAAACAACACGATATATAAATGAAGATTTTATCTTTATCTATCCCGAAAATATGTCGATGAAGAGCCATGAAAGATCGCGAAAGTTTTACATCATACATTATTTGTAGCATCTGTGCAAACTCTAAAAATCTCGAAAAATCTCTTCAATTTCCAATTTTGCAGAACTCTTTTATGTATATACATACATGCATTTTTTATCATAATAAATATATTGTAAAATTTTTCTTCTTGCAATTAACGATATATGTATATCAGATTTGATCGTCTGATAATAGTTTTTCAAGAATTTATCGTAAAAAGTCGCTGCAAAACGCCAATAAAATTTCTTTTACACGGGGGTATTTATTTGCGCGAGCGTCGTGGAAATTGGAGAATTCGACGCGTTACGCACGAGAAGCAAAATTCGTCGACGACGTCGGTCGACGTCGTTTTCAGCGAAAGCGTTGCCCTCGTCACGTAAAAATATCTCGATGGATAAAAAAAGTCTCGCGTCGAGGAGGGAGTAAAGAAAATCTTAGCGTCCCAGGTAGAAATCTGCCTCGATTTGTCGAGATTAAATACAGGGCCTAAGTAAAAAAATCCAAAACATTTAGGTGCATTTATCATTTAACAAACATTTATATATTTCTAGAAATTTACCTTTATTTTATCGAGAAAAAAAATCGGAAAAAACTGCATGGGTTCTAGATTGCCACTGACATATTTTTCCCAAATTAGAATAAATATGAAACAATATATGGGGCCAGGATTGAATAATATAGCTTATATAAATAATTATAATGCAATATTTAAAACAAGCAAATATTTAAAAAAATCATAGGTCCTAGTTGGACTCCAAATAATTTATCTACAAATTCTGGGCGTAATCTTGAGTCCACCCTAATCCTGCGATAGGGCCTGTATGATTTTGACGTCCCAAACTTTACACAGGTTCTAGTTAGATTTTTCATCTGAATTCCAGAAATACTTTTAAAAGATTATTTTTAAAGATTAAGAGCTCTGATTATTTTCAGACAAAATTTCTACCTGGGCCTATAGCGCCAGGGAAATGAATTGCTTTTTTTTTTTACCTGCGTCAATTAAATAGTATTCTTCTGTAGAGAAACAAATATTTTTTATTTATTTTATTTTATCGAATCGGAAACGCGAGACGTCTTAATTAACGAGGAATCCGCGAATTGAATAAAATTTCCAATTAAATGTAATATTAATGTGATTTTTTTTACATGTAAATAAAACGCAGTCGGAATATGGTTTCGCGAAGGGCCGAGCGCGCGGGTGAAGGTGCGATAAAGTTTGCGCGAGGGACAGGTTTAGGGACAGTGTTCTCAGCCAGGAAGGATACGCGGTGGAAATTCCGCTGCGGTCTCTCTAGCTGTGTTTTAAATCGCCCTCTCCCGCTTCCTCACGACTGCTCGCAGCCCCACTCGTGCGGGTGCTCGCGCGGGCGTTTCTTTTATTTTATTAAGTCTAGACGCGTAAATGCATTCGTGCCGGCACTGGCGTAGCCCGTCTCGAGAGTCCTCCGTGTGCTGTTGCCGATGCATTCGTGCATCGCTCGATGCACGATCATGCATATCGCGCGCGCGGTTTTGCATCGCGAGAGGAGAATCCCATTTTAAGCGGCGCGTCTTTCCATTCTCTTCATTCTAATTCGTCTCGCGAATTAATTTCGGCCACGCAAATTTATCTAATTAAAATTTTTTCTCGATTCGACCGATGCGTCTTGTCTCTCAAATGGCAGTTTGTTCATCCCTCGTCGAGCGATTTAGCATGAAACATCGATAGGTAAATGAGGAGATAGCTGGACTCTTCCTGGTTCTCTTCAGGCTCTCTCGCGATCAAGAACAATAAGATAGAGAAATCGCGCGACGAATGTCGTTCAATAGCGCGCGAGACAGTTAACCGAGTTGAGCACCCTCGTAATCGCCGGGTGTCTAGTCGGGCTGCAGTTAGAACTCTCTTACGAGGTTACGTAACACATTTCAATTTAATGCGTTGACCTTGTCTATGCGCGTCTCTCTTCCTATGTCGACGGAGACGGAGCGATGGTACGCGCGACGGAGAGAGAGGAGGAAGTTTTCGTCGGAGCGCGGGTGATATCCCCTCGCGAGAGCACTCCGCTATACTCTCCCGTCTTCCGTCCTCGCCGTCGTCGTCGCAGTCGTCGTTGTCGCACCGCCAGACGGTGCAATGTGCATTTTTACGGGCGAGCCAATCAGGCCGCCGAGTCGTCCGCCTATCGCGAGACGGACGTATCTTCACTATTTTTTCTCTCCTTTTCTATTCCGGGCTTTCGTTTTTTTTTCATATCTCTTTAACATTCCAGGTCCGGGGGTTTAAAATTTTCGTTGAAATGCGCCGATAGAGCGTTCTCTTTTTCTATATATATATATATATGTTTTTTTTCTCTCTCTTTCCGTTTCTTTATCTACTTTCCAACGCTAATGGTCTACACGGTCGGCTATGCTCCAGTGAATTTCATTATCGTGACACCCGGCTCACGAGAGGCGAGACCGAGGAGGATCCGTCGCGCCGGTTCACATGATGCAACGGCCTCCAGACTTGTCCAGGTCCTTCCCTTTCCCAGACGGCGGACAGACGTGGCACGTACGCAACGAACCGGCGCGAAATGCGTGACTTGGCCGCGGCTAGATTAACGAGCATGCCTAGAATCGAACATTCCAGGGTTCGGTATATCGTAGACGGTGTTTTCGAAGAAGAGAGTCGTAACTTCTCCTCTGTACCTGCCTTTCCAGAAAACCCGGCGGACCTATTTCTTGATAACTTCGGACCCTATGGGTCCGAAAAATTTTATCGGGGACCATCTACACTTTAAAAGAACGAGCGATTATGACCTAAGATTAAGATGAAAAATGGGTTTTGTCCGTTTCGCTTGTCATTTACGAGTCTCTATTCAAAGATACGGTTCCTGCGAAGTCTTCGCTTTGACTTTCAGGGAAGAAGTTGCGGCAGATCTTTAGGTACTAAAGAAAGACATTTTTTCTCTTTCGGCCTCGCTGTCGCTCGCATTCCTTAAATTTCTTTCCATACTTCCCCTTCCTTTCCTTCTTCGCATTTTTTACATCTTCTCATTTCCTCTTCTTTTCCACCGTTCAGGGAAATACACTCTTCTGCTTGTCGCTCGGGCAAGCCAACGAGGTCGTTGACGTGGAGACTGCACTGAAATCTCTCGAGTGGGCGTCTCGAATACGGCGATCCTTGTTGATGTCGTAGAGAAACGATGCTCAACGCTTTTTTCCCCATAGTATAGTTCGCACTTTTTTTCTAGTCCTGGACATTTTTTTCGGTAACGCGACAATCTCCGACTGCGCTTGTCAATGAAAGTCTCGCGAGATCCTGAAGAACCACGCGCGAAGTAAACGAGTTCTTCTTGTGGTATCGGGCGAAAAGAAGCACGAATTTCCGATTCTTAAATAAGATCTATAGATTGTAATTTTCATCGTACGCGAAAATTGACAGTAACGAAGAAAGGCGTGAAATTCGAGTTACGCGAACACGATGTCCAGCTTCGATATCGTAAAAAAAAAAAATTACCGAGATAGGATGAGAGGTAGGGCAATGCAAATAAGCCCGGTCGAAACATCCTGGGAGCGGATTAACATTCGAGACGCGGTCTTAAAAAATTAAGGTTTCTCCGAGAGAGCCAGGCGGTAAGTCGAGGTGATTGGGGTGCCGCGGTATCTGCCGACTGTCTAGCCACTGTCTGCAACGTATAATAAATGCCTCTGCGAGCCGTACCGTGCCTCTCTGTAGGTCACTGACCATCGTCCGTTGGCCCGCGTCGGCACCCGGAAGACCGGGAACCTGAGGTGAAAATTCTCGAGCCCGCACAGACGCGCCGCCACGCCGCACTAGATTTATGAAGCGACATTCACGATTGCCTTTTTTTGAAAGTGTCTATACGGAATTCTTAGAAAGCTCGTTTGAATAATGCGTGAAATATTTAGGGCGTTTTACAATATTTTCACAAGATCGCTCGGACGCGTTTGAGACGTATGAATGAGTTTTCTACTTTGTTGTTGTACGAACTTTTGAAACCTCCAAAATAGCTTGATCCCTCCGCATTGTGATTGTTGATTATTTCTGCGAACGATATTTTACTCAACATTGTTCGAGATACTAATAAAGGCGACTTTATATTACTAACGCGCGATTTTGTTACAAAATTGATGTGCTTGTTTGTTATTACTCACTGTTTTATTCAGAGCACTTCGTGTAGCCTAATAAATTTTGATCCTCCTTTTGTGTAGTCAGAGTCAGAAGGCGTTGGAAGATATTAAGACGCTAATCCTCGAAATAACTGGGAGACGCAACAATAAGAGCTACAATAATAGCACCAGCACCAATCAGGTTCAACGCGAGAAGCTCACCATGTTTTCGCCTACTTGTTAGTAGCTTAATAATTCGTTATTTTTCCTATATCGTTCCGAGAATATTATTAGTTTATTGGACAAAACGTGTGATCTTATTGTATAGGCCAGATACCTCGAAACACGGATCTCGAAACTTGGACGGATCCGTTTGCGATGAACATGCATTTCCAATTGAATCTGACTTCCGGCGATCATGTTGTCGCGGCGAAATTGCGAATTTATAAGTTGCCGCAGGAAAATCTCACGACTTTCGCGAACGGAAGTTTTGACGAGGAAGAGGATGACGAGAAGAAAATCAGGATATCCGTTTACTATTACACGAAGTCGCTGAAAAGGCATAGATGTGAGTGTTTAATCATTAAGCGGATTATCGAATACGCATGACTTACTTAAGAGAATATAAGAGAACCACGATTTTTCTCATATATTTAGCGAAGAAACGCTTGATGGACTCCATCGTGACGCCGCTGACGACCTACGGCAAACAGCTAGTGCTGGATGTCAGGCAAGGCCTGAGATTCTGGCGAATGGTCCCGCGAAGTTCTCCACACGGCAATGGTAACAATCACGGTTTGGTGATTCAGATAGAGGACCAAGACGGCCGGGCGCTGAAACCGGCTCTCTATATCCAGCAGCCGTCCTGCGCGGACCACGATTCGGATCAGAAGGCATGTGAGTGTGTGCTCTAACAATACTAACTTATATTTGAGTTTTGGATTGAGCTTCTTGCACATTTCTTGCGTGAAACTAAACAAATGTGTGCAGTAACACATGAAATAAAAAGAGAGAGAGAGAGAGAGAGAGAGAGAGAGAGAGAGAGAGAAAGAGTGTGTTAAATAATGCAATGTTCTGCATACGTAGATTTTTACATAGAAAGCTTTTGAAATTTAAAATTTTTACATGTGTGTTTACTTTCCTTTTATTAATCCGTTTTTAGATCTCGACAGCTTTTTAGATTCTTAAAAAAATTATTTTTCTTTTTTTCCTTACAGCCCAGCTCAAACCTGCACTTTTCGTCCGAGCTTGTGCTCGTTACAGTCACATCGTAAACGGCGAGGAAGTCACATACGTAAATTGTAAGCATTAAAATAGAAATGACAAAAATTCAATCAACGAAACGAGGGAATCTGTTTCGAAAGAAGCCGACTTAAATTATATTGTGATTGTCGTCGTCTCGAAATGTTTGTATAGGCAAATAAAGAGACGTGCAATTTTTATTGTATAAATATAAGATATTTTGATGATTAGGGAGGTATGACACCAACCTCGGGGTGATATCTATTCTTCTTTCCTAGTTTTTCGCATATTTTGCATGGTTTCTTCTTTTCTTGTTTCTCCTTTGGATTCATAGATGTATTTCTCTTCTTATCAGACGCATTATTTTTCACTAAGTGTTCCAAACTTCTGATTTCATTGAACAGATCTTTCGTTTCCTTGATTGTTTCTTTACATAAATTAAAAATCGCGCGCGCACAAAAAAATGTCTATCCAAACATATATATAAAAAAAATACGTCTTTTAAATATTGGATTTTAAACTCTAGAATTTAAGAAATTTTTTTATTATTGGTGAAGGAAATTTCATATAATTGAATGATAGATTAGTAAACATATAAACGGAGAATTCGGAGCAGAATAAAGTGAAACTTCTTTTGAGTTTCTCACTTCTTCAAAAGAGACGTTTTAAAACTTTTTTTTTACTACTAACTGCTATTTTTCTTTTACACTGACAATTTATTCGAGAAAGATGTAGGTCCGGCGCTTTAATTAAATAACAATAATTGTAAAAAATAGATATGATTCTATAGGAGTTTTTTATTTATAGACTGCTGTTTTTAACTTAAGAAAGAATTATTTAAATGTAGTAATTTAAGCTCCTATATAATAATTCTTATACGTTTAAGAACTGTCTCCTTTTTAGATATTCAATCATAATGTATATATAATTAAGTGTAAATGATTTTTATGCATTCGCTAACATGTCAACATACCTACGACTGATATAGCCAAATGTAAAAGTTTAGGATAGCGCATACACACACACTCACATATATGTATTTATGTTAAGTAAATAAATAAATTAATTAATTTTGCGGACCCGGATTTTTTTCCGGATTGAATCTATTATCTGGTTAAATAGAATTTGTAGAGAATATTTCTCTACGAAACATTGTGGCTAAAAAAAAGATTTCTCCGAAAAACGCTTCGTCTTCGGATACATCTCAAAATCATCGCATTCACTCGATTTCTTACAATGTACGTGACAAAAGGGGCATAATGTTTAATGCCTCCTGCGGTGTATATAATGTATATTTACATGTCATGTTGCAAACAAATAAATTCATTTGCAGTAAGATACATCGAAAATTTGATAAATACAAATCTCTTCCTTCTTTTTCAGCTTTACACATAATTCTCTATTGTCGAATAAAATTATTAGAGGAGATAGCATTACAACATTATAAAACATATTTTATTAAAAAAATCTAGAGATATAGGAAGGTGTACATGGTTCAACATTTACAACAAATTGATTTACATCAGAGTGTTAGACTCACAATCAGTACAAAATCGTGGGAGCATCGTTTTCTCATCTCTTTCTTTATGGATATATATACATATATATTTTTTATGGATATATATATATATATATATATATTTATTTATATTATATATGCATATGTATATAGGTATATATATATATATATATATAATAAATATATATGTATAATATATTTTAACCATGTTAATCTAAAGAATACTAGAAAATAATATTTTTACAAGTAATATATATCGAAGAGTGTAGAATGTAAAATAAAAAGATATTGATAAAGTATAAAAATATTTATAAATTTCAATCAATCGAAATCGTTATATTATTTTAAGATGATATTATTAAAACATAAAAAGATATATCTCTAAATTCGTTCGAAATACTTATCTGATATTTCTTTCCATGACAATAATTTATCAAATATTTTGCTGTTAACGTTAATCTCCAACGGCCAAGACAAATGCACTTTATTATTAGGAATTAAGAATTTTATACAACCATGACCCAATCTCTTATTCAATCTGGAATACATAACATTTATCATTCTTTTCATTTCAAAACTCTGCAGTGCTTATTGCGCACGTAAACGGGTTCTAACAGAACTTGATCTTACAGAGCACAACTTTATCGATGATCAGTCAATTTTACCATTTTTTCATTGTATTTGACAAAACTTGGTCTTTAAAAATAAAACTTCAATCAATTGAAACAACGTTAATTTGTCGACCCTTAGAATATTTTAATTGAATACATTATGGACTCGATCAAATATATTGTCGATTGTGTTACAGTTTGTAACGAGCGTTTTCCTTGACCTAGCTGTCTCGATCGAAGGAATCTAAAGTATCGTTGCTGGATGAATGCGCGAGATCACTTAATTCGTCCAAATGTTTCTGTCGCTTTCTGACGTTCCAGTGTAGACATTCGGCCAGAGAATCGAACCAATCGGTAATTTGATCGGTCGCGCAAATACTAGGCACTGGATATATAGAAGTAGTTACCCTCAAGCTGAAAAATTATGCAATTTTCATTAAACAATTATCCTATTAAATGCGAATAAATAAAATGATTGTAAGCAAAAGCTTTTAATCATTAAAATTTATTTGATCTTTTTAATGTTTTTATAGCAATAAAATTTAATTAAGAAAGAAATAATTTTATATAAAAATATATATATATATATATATATATATATATATATATTGTCTGTAAGAAGATATTTATTTGCAATGATTTTTTTATGAAAAGCTTTAGTATTTATGTGTAAGTAAATAATGTTTTGTCACAAATGTAAATAATGAAACATAAAATACCGTCACCCTGCAGAACAGCCAACGTCTCCCTTCAAAAAGATGTTCTATTGTGAAATGTCTTGAGACACAGCCAAGAAAAGGAATATATTGAAATCACGAGAAGCGTAGAATATATTGAAATCAATGAATAAGCGTAGAATAGATAGAAGAGATAGAATTTGAAAAAAGTATGTTTATAGAGAAATGGAAATGGAAATGGAAATTGCGTATAAATATAAAGCGCGAGAAAATGGAAAAGTGCTAATATAAACTTATTGTCAAAACGACATTGCCACTTTTATGTAGTGTGTTATGTATATATTTATCGATTTTTAAAAAAGAGCAAATCACATGAATATATATCGCGTAATGCGACGAGGCATAAGTAGAGAGAAAGGCGGCGAAACGACGCTCTTTACAAAAGCAGGACAAACCTGTCACCGACACGCAGCTCTTGCTGATTGCGACCGTCGAAGGAGACGTAGGCTGTATTGCGGGCATTGCTGTTCGCCTTTATCTGAAATAATTGTAGAAAATGCAAGCGATTAGATTGGACTGTCGAGCGTTTCGGTTTTACCTGTCACCGTGGAAAAGTTCCTGCCTATTTCTACCATCGAAGGACACCCACGAAGTATTCCTGCTGTCAGGTGAAACCGAGATCTGCGGTGAAAAGTAAGATCGCAATATTAACAGCGGTTAATCCGTCTCGGTTCGTTAAATTCAAAATAACGCGTTAATTTTTTCCCCTATCCACACAACTCTCTTTATTGAAAAAACTTGTCATACTGCTTATTGATTTTTTTTCTATAAATTCCATAATTACCATTTTAAAATTACTGATGAAACGCAATCGCATAAGAAGAAATAATTTATTATAAAAAAAATACTTGCACATGTACATATATAAAAAAAAATTGTTTTTAAATAAATTATTATTTAATAAAAAAATTATTAATTTCTCTTTTTATTATATTATTGAAAATAATTTTTTTTTGATCACAGTTTTTATACAACAGAACGCGTAAATTTTCAATAACTTTTGGTATTCTAAAAACTGGCGCACGGTCTGAGAATGTGGGTGACATTCATCTGAACCAGGTTTCCTTTTATGGAATATTAACGTGGTTTATATATCTCGGGGCGCGATAAAAGAACTCTTATCGGATTACGCGAAAATGCTGCATCAAGTGTTAATTGATTGATATCTGTTAAATATCTTAAAAGAAAGCAAAATAAAACTTGTTTCTAACTTTGCGGACATGAGCCGAAAGAGAGATGTTCAAGTCTCAATTATTCAGAAATTTTAAATCGATATCACACTTTGGATATAAACTGAAATAAAACGTCTCAAAAACGTGCTTTTGGCTGTCGAAAAGTTGAAAAAACTACCTTGAGCTCGACTCCGGCAGGTACGACGATCGGCCTGAAGGACAAAGAGTGAGGGCAGATCGGTGTAATCATGATAGCAGGAACTGAAGGATGAATCATGCTGGCTCCAGCGGCGACCGCGTAGGCAGTTGATCCAGTCGGCGTGCTCACGATCAAGCCGTCACCCTGGACGCTCGTCACGTGCTTGCCGTCGATGAATAAATCGATGTTTGATAGGTAAGGCGAGGGTCCTCTATCCACCACAACTTCATTCAGCACTAGGAGATTAGTAGGTGGTTCAGTCGGCTGACCCTCCTCATTCTTGCGTACAATGACGCATCTTAGACGACTTCTCAAGGTTAAAGCTGCGTCACCTGGTGCCGTAAAGCGAAAAATTATCAGTTTGACTATTTATAAAGCACGACGAATGGTAAAATTAATCGACAGCTTACCTCTGAGAACGGTGTTCACTTGCTCCTGAAAATTGTCAAACTCGAAAGGGGTGAGGAATCCCAAAGAACCAAGGTGAAATGCCATTATAGGTGGCACCGATTGCTGGAAGAGCAAACTGGCGTAAAGAAGTGTGCCGTCACCTCCCAAGCAGACGATAAAATCAATTCGATCCTGAAAATAAAAATTATTTCATTAATATAACAGAGAAAAAATACATACATAAATTAATGCAAAATTTATTGTTTATTAATATTTATTTGTTGTGTAAAAAGGTTTTTCAAAGTTGCGTATTTCCATAATAAGATAAATAATTGCAACTAATGACGAATTCACGATTCGTAAATATATAAATTTTTAGTTTTATATTTTGAAAGAAACACCGTGAAAAATTCTAACAAAGAATCAATTGGTAAAGGTATAATATTTCAAACGGAGAAAGTTTTTACCTGCAATTCATCAGTGCCGTCTCTAAAAGTTTGTAATCTATCCCGTATGTCTTGAAATCTGGAATCCCTTGCTAATGCTGGATCTTCCAAAACAGATGATTCCACAAAGACCACCATCCGTTTTTCCTGCACAAATGAATAGTCTTAATGAATAGTCCTGCAAATGAATAGCTTTTAAATTTAACTTTACTAAAGGAAAATTTTAGGACTATTCATTTGTATTTTTAGTACAATGAAAATACAAGACTAATAGTTTCCATAGGTCGAGGACGATTTCTCTTTCTCTAATAATGGTTTTATACCTTACAAGTTAACAATGCGTATAGTTAATATATATTAAAAAGTGCAACTTTTGTATATAAAACCAACAACAATATATTTTTAATGTGAAAGAAATATAAAATTATAATATATAATATATAAATATAAAATATAAAATAAACTAAAGCTAAAAGATTAAATCTAAAAACGCATGGAAAAAATACGGATTGAGTACGAGGACAGTTTTTTCTTTCATTTCATGTAAATGGAGCGAATTAATTTTTTGCAACATTTTGTCACGGAAAGTGGGCTATTTATGCTAATCAACTTCTCGCGAGATAAATTTATCATAAACGTTTGATAATTTTATTACATATTTACCTCTATCAGCCAAGTGACCATTTGAACAAACGGTGGCAGGACTGATGAATCGCGAACTTTCTTGATAACCAGAACGGTGAGTGGTGGTTTGTACCATGTCAACCTCTGGGAGGCTGGATCTTGAATGGTCCTGTGCGAAAAAAGTTAATATATTTTTCTTTATTGCTTAATCATTGATCACGCTTAACTGTTACTATTCGTGTGTCTTTCATACCAGATTTATATATTTTACAGAGTAAACAAATTGATCGTATATGTGTGGATTCAAATAAAAACACGGATCAATGATATACCTATACATATAAGTGAAACCACGAGGAACGAAAATTAAATTCGCGTTTTTGATTGATCGTCATGCGCGCGTGTCTCTATCGATTCTACGCTTTGTATAATTATTCGCAAGCCACCGTTACATCCTTTATAGCCGTCCAAGAAACAATCGAAGCGTAGGGACAAAGGTAACGACTGATGAAATGTAAAAAAGTATCGACTCGACAATGACGTACGATTGCTGCTTACGATTAACATGGTGATTACATTATTGTATTACACCGCAATCTTTTATGCGCTGACTGCAATGCAAGGCTGCAAATTCAATGTTCCGTAGGAAAAGTCATCAAAAAGAACCCGTCAAACATTCAGTAAATATTGTATAAGAAAAAAACAGCGAGAGACTAAATTACGTAACTAATTTTTTTCTTCAAATATTTCTGTGTAAACGATGATTGAAAGACATGCAAGTCAAGTGACGTTTAAAATATATTCAAACATGATAAAAGCATCAACATTGTATCGCGGATATTGTAATTTTTTACATCTTATTAACCAGTTATAGGATCAACTGTCAATAAAATAAAAAGTAAATTCACGGCAATCTACTTGATGATGCCAATCACGATATGATGGTCTTGTTACGAGAATCAACACGCACTGATTAAACACGGCGAGAGTTTCCGCACCGTTCTTTTTTACCGCTCGGCACAATTGAACGGACATGCATGCGCTTCCTCGTGCACTGATCCCAGTCGCGGCAACTTATTATTCTCCATCGGATATTTCAAATATTTAGTTAATGAAATTGCGAGTCGGAGCTATTTATGTTAATGTGTTAAAACACTAAAAATGTTTGTGAGATAAGCTTAAAATATATATTTGTCGTAATCGATAATTTTGTCGGACTACAGATGAACTTCCACAAGGATTATCAAAACAAATACAAGCAGTTTCGATGATATTGATAATATTTTAGATGACTTTAAGAAAAAAAGAAAAAGACAAGTTTAATTTGAAAAATGTATAATAAATTTAAAAAATATCTTTTTTTTTTAAATATTTCATGTTAAATACCTTTCAATCATTGTGGTGACACTCAAATTTGTGTATGTACAGTAAGACACAGATTTTTTCTTTAGATCCAAACTTTAGTTGCACTTATTAATTTTATTAAAAGCAATGAAATATAGCTCTATGCAATTGATGGCAACGTGTATGTGTGTTAGAAAATAATGAGCAAATTAAACAAATGTACACGTCGATGAACAACTCACATCTTGATTCCAACCATGATAGCACTCTGGTTGAGCGACGCGAACTTACTGACCACTCAACTAAGTAAGACGGACATTTAAACGTAAACATCGCGCACGCGCGCGTGCACATCACATGCGGCGCGGGAAATCGCATCACCAATGTCTGCAGCTTATTGGTCCGTATACACTAGGGTTTAACCCTTCTACATTTCCAAGGCTTTTTTTATGTTTTCTTAAGGGATAGACATGTGAAAAGTAAAGATTTTTGTCATAAATTTTGCAGACATTTTTCATTTTTTTGTCTCGAAAGAACAGCTACTACATAGTTACTATCTAGAATCTATAAACATTAAGCATTTCCGGTGCATTGTGTTAAGATATTTTTGGATTTTTTCTCTTTATTGTTTGAAAATTATATATGACTTTCTTATTTAATAATGTATTTATAATCTTTTACGTATATTAAACAACACTCATTAACTGTTAGAATTTTGAATTGTGATGCACGAATACCTAAATGCAATGTGTTAAACCGATAATAATTTTAAATTTCAGAAGTATAAAACTATTGATGTACATTCTAATGCATGTACACCAGAACTTTCTCATATAAAATTAAGTATATTTAGCACAGAATGCGTACAATTCGTCCTAAATGTATCTTTCAATGCAAAAAGACATCTTTCATTTTCTATACGAACATTTTTCCGAATAAAAAAATTTTTTATTTATACTGCTTATAGTGCGCGTTTAATACTATAACAATTTGATTCCAAAATTCTTTTTAGCGTAGAAATCAATTAATAGATGCGGAGTCTCTAATTTTTATACATATATAAAATTAGAGTTCTAATAAAATTAAAATATCTAAAATAGATATTTTAATTATATTAATATTTTATTGAAATTAATCCATTTGCAGTTCATATGCCATAACATTAAATTATATAATAACAAAATACTGGATAATATAATAATTAAATGATAAAGAAATCAACACTGAATATAAATTGTATAGAATTGCAATTAATATCTCATGTATAGTACATTTAAAATGCAACTTTGGTGTGCAATGTTGCGCTTAGTCATCATTCCTTGCAAAATGGAATGCAAATGAATTCCTATTAATTGTTTCCAGTATATTCGATATTTATTCTACGGACAACACGATTACCATTTCAATATGATTGTTTGATAATGAAGATAATCTTGAACTTTTCCTATCAAAGTAAGCAAATATCGTTCGATGAGTAAACGCTTTCTAAGCAGTCAAACATTTTTTTAACGTTACATTAATGATCATTTTTAATCTGTGATCATTTACGAACCTCATGAATCTGAGTTTAATGGTGCGATGCGATCATAAAATATTTTTCTATAACTTAATTAGTGATGCCAATGTAAAGAATGAAAGCACGTGTGATAATCGAGGACGATTTTCAACGCATTAAAATCTATGGATAGTATTAAAATAAAATCTATTTAAAAAAATGAAATAATAGAAATTTTCGATGAAATGATTAATCATTTGAATGATAGCTCATAAATGTCTTAATTAAACATAATACAATGTAAATTACATACATAACCATTGCGGAATTCTTCATGATACGTCCACATGGCCCGAATGTTTGAACCGGACTTGGTGCGTTTAGGCTCCTAGTTCTCCTGTAAAAAAACAAAATTGACAAATGTATTAGACACCATAAAAGTATTAGGTACCGTAAAAGAAAATGTGAGTCTATTTAACTCAAAACCTTAACGCAAGGATGTATTGTATATTGTTTCGTCTTTATTCTTTATGGACAAAAGACCGAAAATATTTTCTTACATTTTCTCAGCAGAATATTGAAAAAAATATCCGTTTCTTTTCTCAATATATTTTGTGAAAAAATTAAACAAAAAAAAAAAATTGACAAATGTATTAGACACCATAAATTAGATACCGTAAAAGAAAATGTGAGTCTATATTTAACTCAAAACCTTGACGCAGGGATGTATTGTATATTATATTGTTTCGTCTTTATTCTTTATGGACAAAAGACCGAAAATATTTTCTTACACTTTTTCAGCAGAATATTGAAAAAAATATCCGTTTCTTTTCTCAATATATTTTGTGAAAAAATTAAACAAAAATGAAACACTTGGATTTCTTTACATCGCATTTTATCTTTTTAATTCTACTTGAAAACGACTATGTCAAGTACATGCATATTAGTGACCATAAATTGTTAATAATTAATATTTACGCAATTAGCTGCACACATTATGTGTCAAGCTATATATATATATACTCACAATAACGCTGAGTCAAGGTGATTATTATATCTATAGTAATTATTGTTTCTTATCAATATATGAACAAGCCGCAATTATAATGCATTTTAGTACATACATTGAATATTTTCAGACTTTTTTTTAGTTGTGTTGCAACTTAAATCATCTTAATTTTATGACTTTAACAGAAATGATATGTAATTACGACATAGGATGCACACGAGGAAAATACATTTCAGATAGAACAGAAACAGCTCAAGCTCGTTTTGAATTTTGTCTCACAATTTTTTGTGTTATAATTAACTTTAGTCGATGCGACGACACGAAAGACTTCATTCATAACTTCATATATATTTTATATATAGTGATACACTAAATCTTATTTTAGATATTTCGTACAAATATAACTCGTCAGGTTTTAAAATTGCTTATCAAGTGACAGTTTATGAATTGTTAATCGTAACACTTCGAAATTACTTTCTTATCGCTCATGACAGAAAAGAATGATCGAGAATAGTCTACCTGAGAACGCGATTTTGTCGATTACTCTCCATCGACGAATCGTTCGATCCATCGTCTTGCGGCTCGACATCGCAATCAAAGTCGTACTGTGCAATGACATCATTGTCATGCAAGAGTGAAATCTGATCCGTCATCTTATCATTAGATGATAAAGACTTTTTTATCTACTTTACAGGAGCAAAAAAGCAAGAAAGTTTATGAAATATTTTAAGGTATTTAGAATGAAATTGTTAATAATTTATTAATTCGACTAAATGTTTTATCGTGACCGATAGAAAATGAAAAAAGTGAAACGCGAATTCGATAAGATATCAAGCATCCTTATGAGTTAATAAGAATTACGATATCTTCGAGTAGTAATTAAAATACAAAACACGTATGAATATCGTGCAATACACGTATTAGATTGTGCTGCAGCAACACGAAAGACTTGCCAAAATTTATTTTAAGATTCACGTACGCGAAAGAAGAAATTACGGATGCTAAAATTAACCGTCTAATTCCGTGTTTTCAAATTAGGATGACTTGTCTATCGCTACTCATCGAAATTTACGATGCAACGTTTAAAAGAGTGCATATGTAGTATGAAAATAAGACAGGCCACTACTACGTTCTCGATACAATTTGTTCCACTATGCTTAATTAAGGGATCATGATAATCGCTTAATACATTTCTCTTATTTCAAAAATTTTCTTCCGTTTATTCGACCTGTTGAAAATTGCTAAGCAGATGACTCTCTTAGAACATTCTGTAATTTCACGGTTACAAAGTACGGGACTTTCACGATGAGCGCGATTGTACGATTGGATTTCTAAACTCGTTCTTATATTCATTTCGGAGTGAATGCCTAAAATTCTAAGGATCTCGATCTCGTTCCGAGGTGATGGCACGGTGGCGTCCTTCGCTCGAGGAGCCTTCGAAAGTATACGGTTGAGAACAAGCTTTCCTTTCTCCGAAGGTATCAATTGAGATGAAATGCGTTTTAACGCAGAGATACTAGATTTCGCAATTACTTCATCACCTATCTGTTGCTGCATTTCAAACGAAAGAGAAAATTTTCGCGGCAGCCGTGCAACGCACATAGTTATATGTTAATTAAAATTAAATATGACATCACGCATAATTGAATGTATTGAATGCGATGGAAGAGCTCGTTTCAAGGAGAGAGTCATTTGCATAAAAAGATTTTTCCGACTATGTCGCACGACATTCACAACCTTGAACTATGTCCGAAAACTTTCCGTCTTAGACGTTGACTGTGACTTACGTAGGACCGAGCAATCTGTCTTTTCGGTGTTTGACTTCCCGAAACAAACATAAAAAAAATTACTCTCACGATTGTCATTTCAATATTTCTCTCAGGTCACTGCACAATCATATTTTATCAGTAAGATAATCGATACCTCGCGCACTAGGAATCAAATTACAAAATACGCGTAAAAAACTGAAAAGTCAAGTCGTAACCTTTGAGTCTATTTCTTTCGTCTCAATTCTCAATCATTAATACCGCACAGACACGCGTGAAAGCGACCGCGTGGCGAGATGGTCGCACGCGGAATGAGTCGCCCAAGTCGCTCACAATCGCGAGATCGTCCCTATCCTGTCGACTATCCAGGTCGGTAATCATTCCTATGCGAGCGATTCGCGTCGATGTTGCAGGTAGGAGTAAGCTTCGCGCGATGCAGCGAACGGTGCCGAGATCATTCTAGCGCTAAAACGCATGTGTTACGTCGGTATATTTTCATCGTGTCTGACTACGTCGCGTATACCTCCTCGACGATCGCGTACAGCTGTTTTTTTATCTTTTCGCTCGAGGCGCGCACACACGCTGACGTAACAGCGCTTTCTTCGAGTGAAGAAAGCGATTTGCACAGTTACGAGAGCGAGTGCGGTGGCATCCTTCAAAGTAGAATCGAGTAACTATGATATAAGACACGAATGTGACACAGTAAAATTTTTTATTGATATTATTGTTAATGGTAGGTATTATATATACTCTTTTCCGCTTTTACTTCATGAATCAAAGGAGAAATCTTTTCTCGATCTCTCTACACGCTACGTTCTTGCTCTAATCGTGATTGACGTCACACAACATCTCGAAATTTAAATTTTTAACAAACGTAATATTTTATTAATATAAGTATGCTGTCTTCTAAGCTGGGCAATAGAGCCAAGGAAACGAAACGAAAAATTAATTAAACGGAACTGTATCTCAATTTGAGATCCCAAAGTTCCACATATAAATTAATTTCGAAACTTACATATGGAGAAATAAGCGAGAAAAATATAGGTCCGAAAAGTCGCTGAAGCGGAAATCGAACCCGCGTCTTTCACTTTCCGGGCGACTGCTCTTACCAACTAAGCTATTCAGACCCCTTCGATCCTATATTTTTCATTTGCCTTTTTAGTAGATGTTAGTAAATACCGCCGTGATTAGCCCAAGGCGAGAATAAACTCAGAAATAAATATTTTTATCGGTTCTCAATATAAATAATATAAGTATGCTGTCTTCTAAGCTGGGCAATAGAGCCAAGGAAACGAAACGAAAAATTAATTAAACGGAACTGTATCTCAATTTGAGATCCCAAAGTTCCACATATAAATTAATTTCGAAACTTACATATGGAGAAATAAGCGAGAAAAATATAGGTCCGAAAAGTCGCTGAAGCGGGAATCGAACCCGCGTCTTTCACTTTCCGGGCGACTGCTCTTACCAACTAAGCTATTCAGACCCCTTCGATCCTATATTTTTCATTTGCCTTTTTAGTAGATGTTAGTAAATACCGCCGTGATTAGCCCAAGGCGAGAATAAACTCAGAAATAAATATTTTTATCGGCTCTCAATATAAATAATATAAGTATGCTGTCTTCTAAGCTGGGCAATAGAGCCAAGGAAACGAAACGAAAAATTAATTAAACGGAACTGTATCTCAATTTGAGATCCCAAAGTTCCACATATAAATTAATTTCGAAACTTACATATGGAGAAATAAGCGAGAAAAATATAGGTCCGAAAAGTCGCTGAAGCGGGAATCGAACCCGCGTCTTTCACTTTCCGGGCGACTGCTCTTACTTCGAAATTAATTTATATGTGGAACTTTGGGATCTCAAATTGAGATACAGTTCCGTTTAATTAATTTTTCGTTTCGTTTCCTTGGCTCTATTGCCCAGCTTAGAAGACAGCATACTTATATTAGTAATATTTTATTGTTTACTTTTTTCATTTTTGACGTAGCTGTGTGCTTATTACATATATCATCATATTTATGTGTTTACAACTGGTTTGAGCAATATCAGTCACACATCTTCTTTTTAAGCTATATTAAAGATTTTTTATATAAAAAGAAAAATGTGTTGTTTTAAACGAATTTAATGAGTGAGATAAATACAACAGACACGTGCCAAATAAAATATATATCCGTAAAATGTAAATAACGCTGTTGTAACAACGCTGCGTCGTTACGTCATGACGATTGGATCAGGAACTTCTTGGGGTATATAAGGCGAGGTGGTTCGACGCCAGGTGAGACAAAGATCTTGACGAAAAGTGATCCGGCGAGGTGACGCGCGTTTGGCTGCTCCAACCGTCAGCCGAGAGAAAACGGTGAGAACGCACACTCGTTTCTGTAATCGATTGCATCGAGCGCGAATTCCTGAAATTCCGATGGACAGCGCGAAGGAGGCGTCATGCGCGCGCAAGCCCATCGAGCTCAAAAGCCGGATCGGATGGAATGTGTGCGGCGAAAGGTTCTCGAGCGTGTTCTCTCAGTCTCGAAGAAAGGAGCAACAAAAAGTGCTCCCGCAGCTCCCGATTCAAGCGGAGCACTCAGATGCGCTGCGGATGCACATGCGATTAAATAATCATCAATTAGCGTAATCACTCGCGAAGCAATGTACCTCTTTAAAAAAAATTAGCAAATTTTCCCGTACGTATAATATCGTCGCGAGACACGATCCACGTTTATATCGCCAAGAGACGAAGAGACGATGCGTGTTCGAGGTATGTGTATATGAATTATAATGAAGACGAGAAAGATTGTTATCTTCTATTCACGATACCTCAATTCAGCCTCGTCCATTCAGCGTCGATTGCAATCAATTTACAATACAAGGTCTCTTGAGAAGCGGATGAAGGAGAGACGACGTTTGCGCACGATAATTAGAGCGATGCGGACCAACACGATTAAGGCACGCTTCGGCACTGAAGCACCGCGAGAAACGTGTCGGGTTATTGGCGACGTATTGGGATCTCGTAGGTCGCAAACGCCGGCGTTGTGACGCCCAGTGCTGCACGCAGGCGCGAACACTAATCAATTCCAAGCACGCAACCCATTTGTTTTGGTTCGAGATCCATTCAACTACTTCACGCAACTTTCATCTCAGCTTCTCGGTAAATCATCAAATAAAGAGAATTCAGTCAAATCAATATTATTCATGGGGAAAAATTGAAGAATTTTTAGAAGAATTTCAAAGTTATTATTATTACGAGCTTTTTATTGTATTTCATATTTAATCTAACTCTTTATATAAAATAATTTTATAGTTCGTATGTTTTAATTATATAGTTGTAATGTTTTACAAACTATTGAATTCTATTAAGTCGCACGCAAAATATCTAGTCAAATACATCTTAAATGTGAACAGTGATGGTCCGATTATAAGTATGATATAGACGGTGTGGGAATTAGTATTCTAATAAATAATTAATCCATTCAACATTAAAATACCGTTAAAGCCCGGCTCGCCAAATGAAATCATAACTAAGAATTATAAGAGTCGCTGTACGAGCCACGAAATATATTTTGCTTAGACATTGCTAAGATATTGAAGAACAATTTCATGATATTTAAGATATGAATTCCTTGGTACCCTTTACCTCCCTAAAGTGATGTAAACGAGAAAAATCCATTTATTTAATAACTTAATAAAAACCGCGAATAATGGATGCTTATATTAAACAGAATTAGCTCTCACCTTGTTGTGTTCACTTCCACAAATACATTTTTATTTTAAATAATTAGTGTCATCTGTATAAAACAGACTGAAGAATCTCTCAGATAGTAAATACAATTATATACAATTTTTATCAAGATGACAAATATTTGTGTTTTCTTTAAGTTATCTAGTAACGAAAAATCTTCAATATAGTTTAAAGCCATTATTCTGTTGTTTAATAAAAATTGTTTCTGATATTGATCCCCCCCCCCTAACTCTTTATATTTTTAATGATTTTTTATATCTTAATAATTAAAAAAAATTTTTGATGATTAAGAATTTTTGCAACGTTCAAGTTGAATTTAATTATGATTGTTATATAGTAAGATTCTTGATGTATTTCGGTATTTAGTATACAAGATGATAATGATGTCGTGGCATAGCAAAAATGTTGAGCAAGCTACTACGTGTTTATCTCGTATTACATATACGAGTTGAAATTAAATCATTACGTGATATCAATTTAATTGCGAAATTAAATGATCTGTGAGACAAAATATATATATATATATATTTGTGTTAGCAAAAATGTTCGCTTGATTCTTTATACTTAGTAACGATTTTGCAATAATCCATGAAATAACATCGTGACCGATTATATTTATAAAAATGACGTTATATTAGATGTATCGTTGTGTCACTTCTTAATCGTGTATAGGTCAATCGATTACATATAATTTTTGCAGAAGTTTGAGTAAAGTTTGAATACTATATGTTGAAATAAAAGTTAGTTTTTGTAGTTAGTAGTAAGAAATCTTCCGGTATAAAGAATCGAATCCGAGCTTCTTGAATCAGAGCCAAGTAAGAAAATAGAATATCTCCGTTGTAACATTTTAAACCGATGGCTTTAGCAACTTAAAAGCCAAAAGTGAATTAAATTTCAAGGAGTAAATGATACATACAATAATTGTTTCTCATATATAATTACAATTTTTAATCCAAATCTAATTTATTAAATTATCAAATTAATGTACAATTTAATCTAATCTAGTAAGCTAACACTCTAATGGCACTCAAACGGTACTTTTGTTTTCGATGAGCTGTCGAGAAGATTTGCGATATAAGTTCTTAAAGATTATGCGTCCAAACAGACGGCGCGATGGTGTTTATAGTCTACGAAGCTACTGTGTTTTTATATCGAGAATCAAATCCGAGCCTCTTATTGTTAAATGAGAACCAGATCCATTGGACGATATCAGGGTTGAAACCGCTTGTATTATTTCATATTATGTCAGCACGAAATAACATTAGAGTTTATCTTGTATAATGAAAAATTAATTAATTAAAAAGTATCCGTTACCGGAGCCTACATATTCGGAGAGCAGCAAAATAAATTACACTCTAATATAAAATGAAAAAATAATACAAAATAATAAGTTGCAGATTATATTTGTATTTAAAACCTCTGGATGAAAACCGCTAAATTTATTTGTGGAAAAATGTTTAAAATAGATTGAAAAAAATAAGTTTAGACCGAGTTTATTTATTGATGTTCTTCACTGTTTTTCTCATAATTGCTGATAATCTGAATCTTTTACTCACGGCCAAGTACCGGATCGTTTCCGCCTGCGTGTTTCCGGTTCCTTATTACAACCTGTCAGGAAGAGCCCTTCTTCAGTATTATTCTCGTTCTTGACGATGATGTCTTTGCATCCAGTTAGACATCTCCAATCGAGCAACTCGCTCACGCTTCGTCTACGTGGCTTCATTATTTCCATAATCCAAAAAACATTTCCTTCAATTTTTCCACGCAGTGTCCGACTCTCTTCTAGCTTGCTTATCCGAAACAACTTTCAGTTATATTTTCATTGAATAATCGCTCGCTCAAAATCACAACGCTTTTGCATAAGTTAGCATTTTCAACAATCCTTTCGAACAATTCGAAACGTCGGATGTCGCAATTATATTTTCGAGCACGGTTGATTTTAATAACGATCAGTTAGTCTCTGTGTGACTCTATATATTGCGGTTTCCACGCGCTACTTTCAAACACACGGCGAACTATGCGCTTTCTTTCTTTTGCAATAGCAATTGCTCTTGACATCCGAGGACTTCCTTTCGTGATGGTTGAACTCGCGGTTTGTAAGTGCGGTAACGAGAGTGGTAAACCTGCCCGTCTAAGCGTAGCATAATTCTTGGTAACGTTCGCGGCGGTGTCGCGTTTACTTCATTCCATGCACAAGATGTAAATGATATATTCAAGGACATAACAACTTGCAATTCTACGCAAACTTTATGCGCATCACAGTATATGAGATTTTAGTATGACGTTCGTTTTAGATTTAATACAGGTAACAAAATATAATTGATCGTCTTGTATTTTTGTTCTTTCTCCATAAAAAAATTACGTGTTAAACGACTTTCGAAAGAATGTCTCACGCTTCGTTGTATGTGTACTTGTTTCGTATTAACATGTGTTTGCGACCTACTTGCACAAGCGCGGGATTTCACTTGACGATGAACGAGGCGACCGATAATGAATACCACTGTTTGTAATCGGCGCGCGCGCTTTTAATTTTTATCTTATCTGTTTATTGGATATATACTAGTAATTCTTGCAACTTGGCAACTTAATATTAAATTATTTTTAGTTTGTAATATTATTTATTAGTTTTTCTGCACATCTGTATTTAATTTATGTGTGTAACAACACATATTTATACAGATAATCTTCGTCGATGTTTCGGAGCACACGCGTATATATGTACATCATTTGTAAAAATCTTTTATACATTATTCTTCTAGTAAGAAGACTATTGGCAGCACTGCATTTTCAAAAACAAAAATTCTGTTCGCGAAGATTACAATTTCAAATGTCGTTATTTACTCCGGGTTTCGAAATATGGTTTCACAAATCTTAAGATTCCTCTTTTCGATAGGTTTTTTCTTGTTGAAGAGAAAAATATCCAATGTATTTATTAATAGATAACGATGAAATGAGGTTTCGAAGTTGCACAGACAACAACCGCGATCGACGACCGCTCAAGGTTCACTGAGAAACGGTTTTACCAGCTGTAGCCAGCCGAGAGGCAGCTAGGGCTTTCTAACACGCGCCTTTTTCCCCCATCTCATGCCATCGTTATCGTCACGCTCCTGATATTGAAAAATTTACGAAGGGGTCAGCAGTTTGCACGATTTGCAATGCTTTGCAAGTTCAATTTTATGTATACGCACAATCGAGAATTAAATTATAACGTAGTATAATACATATTCAAAATGTATTAACGTGTAAAAATATTATAAATATATCCAAGCAGAAAGAGAAAGAGAGAAATTTTGCATCTATATTTTTTATTTTAGAAATTATATGTTCTGTGTAATTTCATTTTTGAGTTTTAATCTCTATTAATTTTTATTTTCTATAAATTAAATTATGTACAGTTATATAAATTATTATTTATAAATTATATTAGCTTTATGTAATTTTATTATCTATAAATTAAATTTGTTACATTATCAAGAAATTACGTAAAATTAGAGGCCTTATAAGACAGCATATACTTTCTCTTTTTCTGCTATTATCTTTAATGAATTATGATGAAGTTGCTCATCCTCAGTAAAGTAAGGGCTATACTACCGCTCGAGACATTATGCTTGCCGGAAGTCTCTGCCCACAATACACTTTCCGGTCGATAAAAGCAATAATGATCCTCAGGCAAATGCATAATGAATTCGTTGAATAAAATCTTCATTCTGGGTTAGTGTGCTTTTATCATTAAACTAAGATTCTTTTTTATTTATGTTGAAGGAGATAAATAAAATATTCATTCTAATACTCACAGTCTGTTAAAGATGAAAGAGAGAACTCTTTCTATTTCTGTCTTATTTTTTACTCACAATGAGTATAGTATTTTTCTCAGTTGTCGAATCTATGCCAACGTTCAATTCCTGCTGAAACGCGCACGATAACATTGAATAATATATGATGTTACAAATGCTTGTAACCAAAACGAGTTTTTATGTCACATATAAAAAACATAGAGCAATCAACTGTTCTTGCTTTCGTACTAATTGAAGCTTTTAATAATTTAAGCAAAACTCTTTGCAGAATAAAATATTCAATAAGTCATTTACCTAAATGTCTCTTATTTGTTCTTTAATATATTTTTCTTTATAAGCATTTTTAGTATTAAAATCTACATTAAGCTAAATTCTAGTTACACAGTAATCATTTTTCCATTACACAATTCATAATGACGCAATAATCATTTTTAAGAAATTCACTGCCCTATATATCTTATTTATAATTTAGGAGACATCTGGTACACATTTCTGACTTTCAAGGACGAAAGCTGTATAAATATTAAATTTCTTTCTAAAGTAAAATATTGGTATCGTGTATTTCTTATTTCTAACGACTTTTAGTTTTTTTACAATAATTTTAAGCATTAACATAAATTTATTAAGGAAACTTTGTTTTCTTACGAAATTCTCTTTGGCAGATAGATACAAAATAAACTTACCAATTTATTGCAAGCTTTAATAAATGAATAAATTGTTGTTAATTCGTTATTTCCAGAGTTATTTGCAAAAACAAAATTATTTTTATTCTGAAAATAGAAAATAACTGACAACGGTTATAGTAATTTTTAATTATGTCAAAATGAATGATCTCTTTTACTACTAACAAGTTACATACCATGTGCGATGGTGGTGTAATGGTAAGCATAGTTGCCTTCCAAGCAGTTGATCCGGGTTCGATTCCCGGCCATCGCACAGAGTTTATTTTTTATTTTTTATTACAACTTGATATATTTTAATTAAGATTCTTGCATCGATATATATCAATATATATCAATAGGTATATACATATATGTAATAGTTTAAAATTTACAGATTTTTATCTCGTTTTATATGTCACTGTCTTAATCAATTTTTTTATTCATCGAGATACTGTTTAAAAATCTAGAATTTAAAAAAAATTGCATTATTTTAATGTCACAAATATGTTTGCATAATATTAATAAAATAAAATAATTAATAAATTTAATAAAATACAATTTAATTCGTTAATATTATATCTCTACGGTACGACCGCCTCATATACTCTGAAGGAAACGCCAAAGTAACAACAGCACTGCTGGTGTAGTGGCATCATGCAAGATTCCCATTCTTGCGACCCGGGTTCGATTCCCGGGCAGTGCAATTTCTTTTTGTTCCCATCAGATTTGAGGCATGAGGAATAAGAGAAAAATCAATACCGAGGGATAAAATATTTGTTTGATAATGAAAGTCTTTATCCTATTTTTTTACTGTTTTTGACTCTATGATAATTATTTAGCTAATGAGATACGACACATTATTTATAAATCATTACCAGTATTATTATTTTAGCATGAAATTTTTTGACAAAATTAATAAGACGAGAGTCTTCTCTTATGATAATAATTTATCGCGTTTATTATACAGTGACTTATTCATTCATTAAAATTACCCGCAAATTGATGATCTCATTTAATACCTATTTGCCAACTAACGAGTATATAAGGTTTCCTTACATACAAGAAGAGATAAAAGCGTCACATATATTACATTAGTGCCAGTTTGTACAATGAGGCAAAACAAGCTACAAAATTATTATACATTCAACACTATGCCGAAATTATCTAAAGATTACTAGCGTAAAACAAACATGACCGATATCGGTAAAATTCCATTCTAAGGCATATTTATCAAACGAGTCGTTTCATTGCAATTATCTGTCTTATACATCACAAATTTAATTTCTGAGCATAAGTTAAAAATAAAAATGTACCATATACGTGATGTGAGATACGGGCACGTGACCATATGTATAAAATGTGTACATAAATGATAAGTTGGGTCACGTTTATCATGAATACTGTACCTGACAGAGTCACGGATAAGGGAGTTTCTCATGCGAGTTGCCACTTGGAAAAGGATATTTCTACCACGTAGCATCACTATATACTTGACACTATTATACTGACGAGGGCCAACCATTTCATTCTTCGACAAACACGGTGTATCGTTGAAGGAGAAGGAAAATAAAAATTTCTCACGATAAGGAGAACCTCTGCGATAACCCAGAACCGCACCGACAAGAGCAGACAGATCGCGTGCCGCTTCTTGTGTCAAGTGTCGATGGTTGGTCAGTGATGTTGATATTAATTTGCGAAAAGTATGTACAACTGACGTAAAGATAATGCTGGATTGCTCCTATGCACACGTGCCATTCTTTTTTACTCGGTAATCAAAGTTTAGACAAAAAAATAAAAGATGCAAAGGAATTTGCAATGGAAAGGACACGAATGTGTGGAATGTTGATTGAGTGCGGTTAATGCATATTGCACTCTAGCAAAACAACGTGACCATTATCATTGAGATACACACATACCTAAATATTGGAGTAATATTACATATTCATAAAACAAGAGCGTGTTATTTATAATTTTATTTCACTGTGCATTAGTATTATATATGTACCATTGTGCAATGTTATTGTGCAATATGTTTTGCAAACATCAGAATATTTGCTTTGAAATCTAATCATAACGTAAGACATGGCAATAATCGCGCCCTTTCTTTAAAAAGATCAATTAAAATAATTATTATACGAGTCATTACAAGTCAAAGGATATAATGATAATATCGCAGCGATAACATTTCGCGAAAAAATTAATTGGTTTTTAAAAAAAGAATTAGTTCGTAAAATCAAAAGTCATTGAAAGTACTAAATTTAACGACGTTTTATCATTTCTTTCTTCGTAGAAAAAATTTATTTATATTTTTGTGATATAGTTTTGTTGTTACATCACACACAAATACTCGACTGAGCACAAAAATCTTATGTAATTGGAAATAATATGTCAATCCATAAAATGCCACAAGTGCAGCATGAAACATTCGTATGCCACATCAAGACTAAACAAGTATAGCTTTGGCCTGAATAAGTTATGCATTATTATGCAAATTATTCAGAAAGTGTAAGGTCTACGTTTGATAAGTTTTACATAAAGTACATGTAAAAATGGAAAATGATAACATAAATATACATATGAAAATTTCTTAAACTTTAGGCTCTCTTTTTCTTTCCAGTTTCAGAGAAAGAGCCTTTTGTCGTTCAAAATTAGGTGTAGTGTAGAGTGAAAAATGAAATTTGAAAAATTAATAATGTTAAATCTCCAACAATCACTGTCAATCTTGATAAATTTCAAAATTGTGATTTATAAATAACAGTATAATTATCTTGAGTTATTTTCGTAAGTGTGTAGAATGTAAAAAAGAAATTTGCATTGCGTGACAAATTCTTCAAATGATTAGATAACACTACAAAAAGCGGCCACGACACTACTCTCTACGAGGACAATTGACTATACCAATGAAATGATTACGTTCAACAGGTATAAAAGGAAACATTTTCATGCAGGTTTTACCAGTTGGCGCTAGCTACAATTAACATTGAACACAGCTGTAAAATACTGTATTACCTTCGCGGCTCCATCGCCTCGGCTTGATCGACCGTTAACTCGGATCGCACATTGCTTCAAGAGAAAAAAAATTGTTAAAATTTGCCGATGACAAACTCTAAATAGTCGTATTGACGCCCGTCAAGATTATGCGTTAATAACACTATCTACTAGTGTAACTATTATCGAATTCTATATTTAATTAGATTCTTCCTACTCGCTCGTGTTCGGTGATCAGCCTGTACAGCTTTAAAAGGGAACGTATTGTTAGACGCGATTGTGGGAAGATCCGTTCGTGGCCTTGACACAGATTTCCATATTTTTTTCAATGATATTAAATATACAATACGTAAGACACGGTTGATTACGCAATTATCCTAAACTGTCAATTCGGTATGACGTAAATCTCGCTCTTGAACTAATTGCTGCATGTTTCAATATTTGAGCAACATGCTATTATAAAAGATAATGATCTAGATATTGAACTTGCATTAATTATATTTGCAAGATAATTATGCTGATAATCGCGAGTTTAATGAATCGAACGTGATTCTTAAGTTTTATATAGA